CACACACACACACACACACACACACACACACACACACACACACAAAACAGACTATAAACCAGTGTAGACATATGTAAAACTACATGAATCACACACCAACATGAGCGCTAGCCTTTCTTTATACTTCTCACGTTTCCTTCGGTCCAGCATCTCCACCCGGACCAGGTGTTTCATAAAGCTCACGCCATTTTATAGCTCTAAGATGCAAGTCCCACGCAGCTTTTTTTATTAATGTACAAAATTATCAGACTATAACTTCCCATTGCTGTGCATATTCTTTTCATTATGCTTGTTCCTTCAAGCGTTCAGACTGGCCAGTCTTTCTTAGGTTCGGATAATGAAGATTTACTGTATATTATGCAGATCGGGACCCACTTCCCTTCAAAACAGCCAATATAAACTTGTTTTGAACTCATTCTGTGTCAGGGTACACTCAGACAATGAATGTAATAAAAACACACATACGTCCTTATAAAGGTTAATGAATATAAATATAAACAGTGGGACATCAGCTTAATTTCATGTACAGTATACTGCAAATGGGGCTCAGGTAGTTTGTCTGGCCCGCGCTGGCAGCAGCGAGTGCTCGAGAGGAGGTAGTTAGGGCCTGGTGCTCTGCCAAGCCAAACTCCTGAAGCATGCAGAGGGCTAATGCTCTGCCTCTGATGTGTGGCACTGAAAAACCCCAGGACCGCTCGCAGGGTCCACTAAAACTCCATCACTCACTCACACCCCGCCAGAGACGGGAGATGGAGCGAGAGCGAGGCGCACCCAGGGAAAGAGAGAGAGATATAGGTGAAGAGAGAGAAAGAGGAAGAAAGTGGTGGAGGAGTTACAGTCAGTGTTACAACCGCATGATTGAGGAATGGCTGCATATGGGGAGAGAAAATAGGGGGAAAGCAAGGCGGAAATATAGAGTGACTGCATAGTCAAGGTGTCTTAATGCATATTCCATTCATCTTTTCTCCTTCTAAAACTTCTCATTCGTCAGTGGCGTGTGGAAATCAGATAGCCTGTATCAGATGGAAACCAATGTGAGATTCTGGAGTAGATCAAAGGTGTGGCTGCGGTTTAGATAAGTCTACCTGCCTTCCAGACACATTTCATCTGTCTTAGATGGCTGCTCATTTCTCTTGTCAGATAGCGGGAGAGACTATATATAGCTGTGATTAAGATGTCTGGAGCAACTCTCTCAGTCTTTAGTCAATAGGAGGCTTCCAAGGCCTCTGCAGACATCGTAACACTGCCTATTGTGGGTATTTGTTTAAAATTAGCGGTTGTTTGAGGGTTCTACGCTCTTATAAGAGCGCATGTTTCTGACACATTGACATGTTGTGGTTAACTTCATTATTTGGCACACGTCCACTTAGTTGATCTCATGAAAGTACAAATACTGGCAGGCTGAGCTATACCCATAGTGATTTCACCGCTTGCTTTCTAATAAAAATGGAGCCAGGAAAAGTAAAACTTCTGACACTTTTGCTGCAAGTGCTGCAAAGCAACTCAGATATATATTTTTTTATGATTAAGGCGTGCTTGCAATTACAGAAAACAAAAGTCATGAAGATGTAATGTTGATGGTAACCGCAAACTCAAATGCAGTTTCATCGAAAATACTTTACATTCTAAACAAGGTATTTTTCTCAGCATACAACCTCTTAATGGATCATAATAGTTAATCGCTTTAGTTTTAACAAAGTGGAAGTGTGGAAAACCAAAACCAGCTTGCATACGTTGATTTGGCAGCATCCAAAAGGATTCCCTATTTCTCTATTGGCCTCTTAAGTGGCCTTCTGGATTAAGGGGCATCAAACAAAGCAGCTGAGGAAACCCTTGCCTTTTCGTGTTCGGTATCAGTTTGTGAGGCCCACAGAGTGTTCTTGCAATCTCTGAGGCCCCTTCACCAGTTTAATATGGCACAAATAGGACTCACACATACACACTACAGGCATGGAGTCTCTTGCTACCGCTGCATGATGTCACTGACAAACACTCAATGTGGGGAACACACGGCCAAACAGCGAAACAATTTGTTTAATCATAAAGTGCATTTACATAAGGCAACGGCTGCATAAATGAATGCATAATTGAACAGGTTAATGCATAATGTAGTGCTCCCCCGGGACAATAAATAAAGTGCCTTTTGAAAACGTGTGAGACAGAAAAAGATAGAGCGAGAGAGAGACAACACTACCCGCCAAGCGTCAGACAAAACATGAAACACGCTCAGCGAGACAATGCCAAGGCCACCGAGGTAGAGGGAGGAAGAGAGAGAGAGAAAGAAAGGAATATGGCAGGAAATAAATAAATAAAAAGGTGAAGTCTTGCTAAGAGGATTTCAGGACATGCTTCGTTTCTTTCCATAATCTGTCTATTAGCACCAGAGTATTTCTAGCTCTCATAACCATGGCAGGGACACTATTAGTGACAAGCTCACACACCAATACAACTTAAACACTGCCTCCTGGGAATTCATACTTCACTCTCTGTTTCCCCTCTTTCCCCTCTTGTTTCCCATTTCTCTCCCTCCTTGGCTACCACTACTTATAACCATTCCCTCTCTTTTACAGCGCCTCTCTCCTCTCATCTCTTCCATCCTCTTTATACACCAACACTCTTATTCTCAAAGCCCAACACCATTTACTTTGTTGAGACACAGTTGGCTTGTCAAGCAAGCACAGACATTGGTAGCGTACAATTCCTAATCAAGAAGCGAGTAGGAGGCCATCCACTGATCAACACACACCCATGATTTTAGTTCTGCTACACTGTCGTATTACATTGCAGTTCCTCCCTTGGTGAGGAAGAAATACTAAAAAAAAAACATGACAGGATTTGTAAACGAAAATGATTCTGTGAAGGTCAGATGGTAAATTTAGCTGTAACTTTCTGACGGCTTTGATCAGCTAAAAAGGTAAAGTATGCATAGATTGCCTTTTCAGTAAAGCTGGAGATGAGTCAGTTGTGTATTATTCTGCTTAAAATCGTATGTCTGTGTTTAACCACTGCAGTGCTGAACTGAAGCGCAGGGCAACGACAGATGCAACAGAAATCCCTCGCTTCTCTTGATCACTGTACTGTTGTTGAGGAAATCTTGCAGCACCAACAAGGCCAAAACAAGTAATACATGTTACACACAGGCACCCACCCGCAGTAAAAGCTGATTCTGAAAGTAATACCATGTGGACCATACCATGTGTTTTGAGATAGCAAAAGCATCCCTTTCCTCAGTATGTTAAGCTGACTACATTAAATAACTTTAATCTTTCTCTTACAAGTTAAAAGTTGAATTCATAAGCAATAAAAGTAATCATTTCTTAATGTTATCCACTCAGGGGTTTTGCTGGTGTACTTGGTCTGGTATGATAGCTAATGTTAGCAAACTTTAGACAGATTTTTCTTTGTGTGTGTGTGTGTGTGTGACATTGCAGTTTGCTGACTTCATGACTCGTTTGTACTCGTGCCAATGTAACACAACATTTTAACATGTGTGGCCATAGTGGCTGTTATTCAGCCAAAGTTACCGAGTTTAACTTTAATGTTTCACATCAACGCTGAAGTAGCAAGAATCCCCTGACTGAAGAAGAAAGTAACGTAGTTTTTGTTCGCCATTTAATACAATTTCACGATAATATTATGCCTATACAGTTCTCTCCAACTATGAGAGGCAAATAAAACAGCCAGACCATACTTACAGTATACGTTACTAAGCACCTGCAAGCATGTTCCGGTGCAAGGAGGAAAGCATTTATAAATATGTGCATGTAAAGGAAGACAGATTGTTGATCACAAAAGATGTCCCCAACTATAAAAAATCTCTGTGAACAATGTGTCACTTGAAGATAGAAAAAAAAGGGCTTAAACTAAATCACAGTCCGTCTCCATCTCCTGCACAGCTCCCACATCTACGTCCTTTAAAACCCTAATAAATTCACCAACTGAAAAAAACCAAAAGAAAACAAACCGGCTGTATTTATTAAAGCTGCTGTTATGTGCATCTCAGAATATACTCAGATACCTGTCAATGTCTGTTTCTGTCGCGGTGGTCCACAACGCAAACACCGCACGCATGTACGTGGCTGTCAGGTGAGATTGCGGGCATTTACGCTGTGATGTGTCACACCTGATTACGGATACACGTTCCCTTCTTTCTCCCCTGTGCGCTGCAAATATATGTGATGCATGCGCTAGTGTGAGCGTGTGACAGGCAGACATCAGCGGAAGGTTTTGGCGGGTTGATGACAGCGCCGCGACCTCTGATGACGCCCTCCATTTTGTCACCGCCGACTCGCGCAGATTACCCCCAGCGCCATCTTCTTACTCTGTATGCTAATGAAACAGAGAGAGGGAGTAATGAGAAAAGATTGACGGGATTAAAAAAAAGAAAAAAAAAAGAGTCAGGGAGAAAAGAGAAAGAGGAAAGGAAAGGCACAGGAAACAGTGCATGAAAGAATACATGTGAAGAAGAGCTACATGAAACAAAGCGTTTGAATGTGTGTGACAGAGAGAAAAATAAGAGAAAGAGAAGAAGAAGAAGAAATGTCTGTGAACATATGCACTGTGAGAGAGATGAAAAACTAATACAGCAGGTAGAACGTGGAAGAGAAAGGGGGAGACTAATGAAGGTCATCAGAAGCCATCACGGGGCTCCCTTGGATAGAAATTTAGGCAGAGAGGTAGGGGAGGCTCCGGCGAGTATGATGAATATGATTATAGGTGTGTAAGTGTGTGTGACAGTAATGAATTCAGGGTGTGGAACAGGAAAGGGATATAGGTCTTTGAGAGTGTTGAATTTCAAACAGGGACACCAACCGGTCGCCACTGCCACTGATCGTTCTCGGTGTGTGTGTGTGTGTTTTGCTCGTGTCCACTCGTATGTGTGTGTGTGTGTGTGTTCGTGAGCCTGTTTGCATGGCTTTGTGCCGAGGTAGCAAGTGAGAGATGCAGTTCGGGTCGCTGTAATTTATGTGAAAACTAACAGAGCTGTCCCGAGATGTCATTAGCTAAAAGGCAAATTTCATTATTTCGCTAATATGGAGCAAGATGACTCTTTTTGATGTCTCCGTCCCCTTCTCTTCTTCCTCCCCGCTCCCTCCCTTTTCCACCGTATCCCCGCCTCCCACCTCCTTTTTGTCTATTTACCCCACCTCCCTCTCTCCTCCCCCGTACCCCCATTCAGAGGATCTCCTTATTCAGAGCAGCTTTCCCTTTCAAGGTTGAAGAAAATGGCCATGTGTCTGTGTAGGTGTGTGCGGGGACAGTGAGAGTGATTTCCATTCGAGGTTCCACTGAATGAGGCGATGGTGACTCACCTTCAGCCCACAACCACACACACACACACACACACACACACACACACACATACCTTGCACTCCTTACCCTTCCTCCCCACCTTTGATGTGTGTTTGAGTCGATGGCTAATCAGGTAGCATCAGGCCTAGTCCTCATTTCCCCTTCACACCAGCCCCATTAGGGAGCAGGCTTTCTGGAGCAGACCGATAAGGACAATATGCTCTTCTTTGGCACTCTCTCTTCCATATATACCTTAAATCTCCCACTACTCTCATTCTACTCTTTTCCCATCTTTCCCCTCGCTAAATGTCCAGTGTCTCCATCATTCCTCCATCTCTTATTCTCCCCTTCTCATGCTTCTCTCACGTTTCACTTCTGTTTGCATCTCACCACCTTTCCCCTAAACGTCCCTTTACTCTCTTCCTCCACTTTTCCCTTTTCCATTCTTAAACCTCTCTACTCTCTAAATCAGACACCTCCTTCCCTTCGTTCCTTTGTCGGCCTCCCTCTGCATCCATCTCTCACTCTGCTCCCCCCATTCATTCCCAAACTTACTCCCTAAATCCCCAGTAAAGTTCTATCAGCCTCTCACCCCATGCATCCCTCTTTCACTACTTCCTTTCCTCTTTCTCTATAGTGCTCAACTCTTTTCCTCTCCTTGCAATTGTCTCGCAATCTCTTTTTCCCCTCTAGGTGTCCTACTGTCATAAACTGTTCCATCCCCCCCCCCCCCCCATGTCCTCTTCCTTTACTCCTTGAGGGAACACATCCACTTTTTGTTGAAAAATTGGACTGATGGTCAGTTTACCGTTTAAGAGAAGGGAACAGACAAAAAAGTCTGTCATATGTCCCGTTTGCTTCTATACTCCATAAAGCTTTAAGATACATATTATTTATGATGGAAGGTATAGTACCTTTACCCCGAGTAAGACCACTGACATTAACTATAAGAAATTGCTAGTGTTGCTCTATTCATAATTCATTTTCAGAACTAATTTAATCGGCAATACATTTATGATCCTGACCATTTATGAGCTAAACGTATGGTTTTAAGAGACATTTTTTTCAGGCAATGAGAGTGAATATAGAGATAAGATAAATTTCCACTCACAGAACACATGAACATCTAATAGAACGATTCATTTTATTAAATAATGTTTTGGCAATTTTTATTTTCAAGGCACAGCTTTGCTTCTGTTGTTATTTACCAATCAACATCATTTATACACCATAGCCAATAAGTACAAATCAAAGTTTAACATGGCATTCAGAGAAGCAGTCTCTGGTAGTCAGATCGCTTTTACATGCATTTTATGTGTTTATTATTCAAATTGCTCCTTATTTACTGTAGATTTGTGCTGTTGTGCTCCGTTGAGATATGCTGCTCACTAAAACAAATGTGAAAAAGGACACTTAAATGTGTCTGATTCATTTAGCTTTTACTAATATTTGGTGTGTACACATATGAGTTTGTCCAAGTACTTTGATTTCAATTTGTAAAAAACTGTGCTCTGCCAACAAGCTTGACAACAGTAAATCCCTCTCTGCTCCTGGGTGATATTTAGCAATCTAACCTTCCTACAGGGATCAGTAGAGTCCCACATTATCAGCTTCAGGCTCATTTATAGTTTCATCTATCAATTCAAGCGCTTCAGAGTATTGTAGTCCCTACTTTTTGTTAAATCTCTGAACTCTACCTTTACCAACGACAAAATATTTTCACTCTTATTTTATATTTCTAACAACTCAGCAATGAGCACGGGAGTCAAATAAGTAGCAGTGGTTATGACCACTTCAAGTCCTCCTCTGGGATATTTGAGTTTACAGCTGCTTGTGGGATTTACGTTTGCACAGTCGAGTTGCACACGAGTTGCCCGTGTTTTCGTCTTGCAACTTTAACCCTTTCATAGTGCGTTTACAGTTCATGAAAGTTACGTGTAACATTTTCGGTCCCCTAAAAATGTCTTATTCAGCGTTCGGTCGTACTTCGCTCCACCCTTTCCAGTTACTTCTGGTTGCAATAAGCCAAGATGGCGACGGCCTAAAAACAAGATGGTGAGGGAATATGCATGAGGATGATGTTGGCAATGAAGGGTTCAATTCCTAAAAGAGCCACACATGCTGCAAATGAAATCATTATTCAACAACGTGAACTATGGTGGTTTAAACATAGTTCATAAACTATACACTTTCATACTAAGTTGGGTTTTATTCTAAAGACATGATGAAGCTGATGAATACAAATCTTGCAAATGCGAGTTTCAATTAATCTGGATATGCTTTTCTTTTTAGTCGACCTTCTGCATCTTTTGTCGGAGCTTAATACATACTGACCTTTTGTAACTTCATAATGGATGGATATTATGCACATAACTGGAATCATGACTTGGAAGCAGTAACAGTTTGGGCAACATTTGAAGCTGCTGGCAAGGCAAAGCAAGAAAAGACAAAATACCTGAATGAATGACTGAGGTGGAGCCAAAACTACAGAATGGTTGGAAGTCTCAGTCCATAGAGAGTGGGGCAAAAAAAAAAAAAAAAAACGTTTCCTATCTGTTCAGTGAAAGAGTTTCATTTAGAAAATGTTGAAATGAAGCATAGGATTAATGCTGTAGTAGAAGCTATATAAATATGTTTATAGATGAAAAATGGCATTAAATACAAAATGTAGATGATGGTGTGATAAGTGTGTGTGGGTTGGTTGGTGGAGAAATGATGGTGTCTGCCGGGACATTTTGTCAGTGTGAAAATAAATCTCTGCCTCCAGCCTAAATTCACCTGCACCAACAGAATGTCAGCATTTGCTCCAGTGTAGCTGTATAGTCATATAACAAACACATAACACAAACCCACCTTTTTAAAAGTGAAACATTGTGTGAATAACTGTCTGCTTTTTCCTTTTCTTTCCTTTTGTTTTGAGTGACCTAACTTTTAGAGGAGACATGTTGCCAGCACTCCTGTCAGTTTTCTTTCTTTCTCACCCTCTGTTGCTGTTCTGTCAGTTTGTGTTCGCGGTGTGACAGAACCGCCTCCCCCACTAAAATCATTGCAACAGTGGCAGAATACTGGGCTTGTCCCAGCTAAGGCATTTTTCACATGACAAAGTGGCTGTTCCAGGGGTTGGATATATAGGTTGTCATGATATGACGATTTAAAAAAAATGGCTATTTCTATACATACAGCATAGTTATATCAAATATTTAACAAATTCCTGAAGTGAAAGTCGTAAGGTCCCTACAATTATTCTCAGTTGCACATAAACTGATGCATTTTATGTTTCCAATTATAATCCAACAACAGTAAATGTATGGCCTAGTTAATACATGGAGGTAGAACAAATGTAAACATGCATGTACTTATTATTACAGTAGCAGTGCCTACACAGAGGCAAAGCAGTTATCACCATCATCAGCCATTGCTACAATCAAGAAAAACTTTTAGTTCAAGTAAAACAAATGAACTCAGATTAAGAATTAAACCTATTTGCTTCATTTTATTGAGTGTTATAGGTAATAAGGAGCCTGGCAAAATATAGAGATGTGATTTAACGAATAAACATAACACGGACTCTAAGGTCTATCTACACCTGTTACTCCAAGTCGGTTAAAACAGACACTAAGAATCATTTGCAGACAATTTCTGTTGCAGAGCTGCTGACGGCATGGGCTTTGAACGGAAGCTTTTTGTATGATTATTAGCATGGGCAACCACACAGAGACCTACAGGGAAGCCCAGACTGGAGCTGATAACACACACACACACACACACACACACACCCCCTAATCATTTGTATCTTAAAATAGGGATCAAATAATGCCTTGTAAACACTGTAATGAGTGCCGTGATGATCAGCAGCTACTCTGTCTCTCTGTCTGTCTCTCCCGTGGTTGAGGGCCCACTCTGTTCACAAACAGCCTGACGCTAATTTGGGATGAAAAGAAAAATACTGACTCGCAATATTTTGCTGGTTTACCATAGATTTCCAAGGGACCACACATACACCAGTGAAATACCACCCACTTGCATTTGATGAAATTAGGTTAGGAAGGAGCCTGTTCTGTGCGTTCCGCCTTTGTGAGAGAAGAGCTCATGGTGTGGAAATTAAGAGCCCGTATGTGCTGGTGTGTGCAAACGTGTGCATTTGAGTTTGTGTGAGCGAGAGGCTGACTAATCCCTCCGCAGAGCTGAAACGAGTTAAAAACACATCAAAGGGAAGCTTAACCTCTGTGAAACCTCACCGGGTTTTCAAGAACAACAAATGATCATTCTCCTCATTGTTTCCAGGGGGACTCTTTTCACCGCTGCGCCGCTGACTTTTCCCTCAGTCCTGGGAGTTTTCAAAAAAGCCTGTGGTTTCATTTTTAATGACTGTGCCGTTTGCGTAAGTGTGTGTGTGTGTTTGCGAAAGAATATAGATGCGTGCGGATGTGTGAGCGGGTGCACTCATGTGTGTTTGCACATAAAAGAAGGGTATTTTTGAGTGTGACATGGCAAATGAGGAAAACCAAGCTAACAAGGACATGCAGTTCTACTCGCAATCATTAAAATGTACGACATCCTGACCGGCTACACAACAGCTATGTATGAACAGAACCAATGAAGGATAAAAAAGGGAAGACAGGAAGACAGGTGGGGGGTGGGGGGAGACAACAAGAGAGAATGGCAAGATGAGGAAGCCAATTGTGGTCTGAGACCTGTTTTCCCTAGAATTCTCATTATCACAGTATAATAGTGCTCCTTCTGTTTGAGTTCAAATATTTGCATGCTTCTTCTTCTCCTTGTCGACGTGTGTGAGTGTGGAACAGTGCTCCTCTTCAACCACTATAAACATAAAAAGAGCCAAGAGCCACGTGTAGATGCACATGGAAAGTCAGCAGGTCAATATGGTCCCCGCTTCAAAACCACATTGAGGATAATTTATTTAATGGTTTTGCTGGTTACCAACGCTTCGACATCTTTGTAACTCATGTGAAACTATGTAAATCACGAACAGTAAAAATGTCTAATGTTAACACGTATCAGTGCTCGCCTGTTGTTATACACATGCAAAATATTTATGACATATTGACGGATGAAATAAAAAATGGTGAGAAATGTATGACCACTAACAAATGTATCCGTTTTTATTTCCCCGTCTTTACAACACGGAGGCTTCGAAAACAGCGACAGAGAGAAATCAATAAATAGTTTTTAAAGTAGAAAACAAAATATAAAACAACATCGACGGTAATAAACATCTAATATACTCAATCACACACGGGCACACATTCATCCACAGGCACTTGCAGAGACAGAAGCCTCGCAGACACATGATGTACACGCACATTCAGACGCATTCACCGCAGTAGATGCATGACACATGGCGCACAGCTGCAGCGTAATCAGGGACTGTGTAACAGCCATCCACGTCAACGTCTGAGGTATGTCTGTGGATACTGATGATATGCCGTCCCTCATTTATCCAAAGCGCGACTCTTTGCTGGTGTAAAGACACATTCGTCAACAACTGTGCAGTCAGTCACTTGTTCTGTTTAGTTCATTTGACTATTTAAGTTGAATTAAAGTGATTATAGTTCATCAGAACTGTCACAATCTTCAAAGAAGTGCAGACAAAATATATTTTCGTGCTTAGTGCTACAGTTTTGTTGCAAAACAAGATCATTACTTGAAGGCATAATTGCTAATGTTTTAAGCTGCCACTATTCAGAGCGTTGCAGCATTTTGAGGATGAAATCAATAGCGTTTTTATGTTAAGTGTCAGAATCTATTAAAAAGAAAAGTGAATATATTCTTGGAATAAATCTCTTCTTGGCACAGCAGTAGAGATATTTGTTGAGTTGATTTTTGATGATTTGAGGGAATTCCATCGTTCGCTGGTTCTGGAGCCCCCCTCAGGCAAAAAGCACCCTGGGAGTTGACTTTGACCTGCAGGACATTAACCTCATACTGACTACACTCCCTGGTGAGGAGGTGGAGGTCTACAGGTCATGACAGGTCAAACTCTTCAGGGGGCTTCATTTTTTCAGATCCCTGCTTGTCCTCCCAGACCAAGCGTTTTCCAGTGAGGAATTCGGCTTGATCCAGAACGCTTCACCCAACGCCTCGGACTCACCTGGTCTCTCTAGCCCAGCTCCGCTCAGCTTGGTTTGGGCTAGAATCCCATCAGTGTCCCCTGTCGCATTGTCCAGGCTCAGGGGATGAGGGAGGCGGAGGGATGAGAACAAGGAGGTGGAGAGAGGAGCTGGGCGGGCACTGGGGGAGAGGGGGAGGTGGACGATGGAGCTCTGCTGGAAGGTGGGAGGAAGAGGGATCAGTTGCTCCACTTGTCTACGCATGGACCTCTCCTCATCCAGCTGCCTACGCAACCGCTTATTCTCCCTGCTGAGAGAGTTTAACTGGAAAGAGAAAGAAAGAGATATTGAGAGAGACATATGCATAGCGAAAGACATGTAGAGACAAAGAGAATAACAGTAGTTATATAAACCTTCACGTGTGACTGTGGAACAGTTCAAGGGACATTTTCTGGTGAAGCCTGAAGGAAGTTTAAACATCACACTTGTTTATTTAAATCAACCACATTACAAAACTTAATTCGAAGCCACCAATAAATATCAAACATCAACAGTCAACAGCTATCAAGTTGATGAAGTGGCTGACATCCCATTATGTGCTTAATTCATCTTTCACAGTTACTTTCATGCCTGTTGAAACAGAAATGCAAGTGGAAAATTGCAAGGGGGTTTTCAGGAGAGCATTGACTTCACAGTTTGAAATGGTTGCCAAGTCGGAGTCATGCGACGGTGTAAATTTCTACATGAAAACAACCAATTTGAGCGATCATTAGAGGTCGATTTGACACAAAATCATCCGTGACACAAAACAAATCGCACATCGTCAGAACATGATTGGGCTCCCTGAAACACAATTACAGACTAGCTAAATTGAGGGTGTTTTATTTTTTGACAGGGACATTTGGGTAAAGGCAGGGAGGAGTGCGAGTTAAAAAGTGTCTTTAAATGCAAAAAATTAAATAAAACAAGACGTCTACATTTGTTGTAATTATATGCAAGATGTGCCAGTCTAAAAATTGTAATAAAGCAGATAAAAGGGAGAGACACAACGGGTAAGGACAGTTGCACTCATCCACATCTGTTTTTTAGTGTGTGTGTGTGTCTGTGTTTGTGTGAATGCAGCGGTTCAAGAATGATGTCACATCGATATGTCTGGCCATGTGTGTGTGAGTGTCTGTGTGTGTGCGCGCATACATGTATGTGTGTGAAGGGGGAGAGGGAAACACAAACGGAGATGAGGCAGACACATTTCCGGATGGTTCTGCTAACTCTACCCTTCCAGACACCGTGCACACACAGACACACACGGACACACAATAAATCTGAGCAAATGTATTACATCTCATGACTAGAAAAGCAAAGTCTTAGGCTTAACCCTCGAAGAGCCAATGGCATGTCGATGTGTCAAAACCTCCCTGAGACGCTTATAGAGTATTTACTATCTTCAACAGGCAAATATCCTACAACGTGTTCATCTCATCTTATGCCAAAAGAAATAGAATTTCCAGATGAAAAACATTGAGGTTGACATTTATAATTAACCGTTTATTCAAGGGGACCTGTTTAATTTTCCTCTTCTTTGGTTGCTCTGGATGCTTATCTAATTGCAAAGGAGGGGGGGGGGTGAAATTAAAAATCACAGCTTGTCTCCTCAACCTTCACATATTGCGGTGAACTGGTGGGCATATGTTTGGAGGAACAGGATGTGTGTAAGTGGGGGAGAAAGAAAGAACGAAAGAGACAGAAAGTCGGGGGGGGGGGGGGGTGTTATTGCTGGTGCATGAGTGTGTGTTTGCACCTTTTTTTATTTATAAAGCTGGGTTTCCATTCAAGTATGTTAATACAAATTATGAAAATTACTGAGCTAGAAAAGATGAATAGAGACAGCAAACTTTGAGTAAATTTCTTCTCGGTGGCAAAAAGGTTTTCATTTTCTGTATTTTAATGGAGTTTGGGCTCCGTTGGCATAGGATGATCAACAACAGAATATACTGTGGAATACCTGTCGGCCCATCCCTCTCTGCAGCTGCCTTATGCATCTCTTTTTCATCTTTGCATGAAAGCGTGCAACAACCTGGACATTAGCCGACACTAAAGCGCAATACAGTGCCAGCTCGCTTAAAGCTAATCAAGCCTTGAAATAATCCCAATTCTTCACTCTGATGTTCATCTTCACCCCCAGTTGATGGAAAATCACTTAACTCAAATCTAATTTTGTGTGACATTTCAAAAGTTTTGCGTGAAATTCGCTTGACAGTCGGATGTAAATCAAGGATGCGCGTGTTGTATAGCTGGTGTTAATATGCGCCTGTGGGCGAGTGAGAACGCAACAGCACTAAACCAGTTTGTGACTGTGAGTAAATGAGACCGATCCAAAGAAGACACACAGACCTGATTTATAACCTGACTCCTTTCACGTAGATATACGGAGACATTCCATCCAGCTTCTTTACTGATATCTGTATCTGTGTGAACGTGTGAACGTGAGTTTGTCCAGTGGACAGTGAAGGGAATGGCCTCGTGTAAATGAACCGCCTGTCCTTTCCGACCGTGCTTGTACGTCTGTGTGTGCGTAGAATGTCCATGTTGGATCGATGTGTGTAATGATTCACACTAGAGATTAAGAGGTGCTATTACACACCTGATCTGTTAAACAACACCTCTCTCTTCCTCTGCTCCACCTTTCTTTGCCATGTACGTGCAGCCAATGCCATTTGCTTTTCAATGAAAAAAACACTACGTTAAAACTTCAACAAGTACCAGCCTTTGTCGTATCTCGTCAATCAGCGGGCCATTCCATAGACGAACTAAAGACGGGTGAGCCGTTCCCCAGGCCTTGGAGTTTTGGAGAACTGAGGGGGCTGAGGAGTACTTTTGATTTGTCTCTCCTTTGGTGATTTGTTGACTCTTCTGAAGTTCAACACAGTTAAAAAAAATAAAATAATGTCAGCTTTTCCTCAGAATATTCCTCTGTGTCTTTCCCCCCACATTGTTTTATCACAGCGGGCCATTTCCCTATGCTGTCATGGAGAGATCAGCGTGGCTGTATTGATATGCATCCCTCTCTCAGTGTCATGAAAGGGAAATCATTTACCAGTTGAAGAAACGTCACTGCTTTTCCCCCGATACGATTTGTCCCCCCCCCCCCCGCCGCAGACTTTTCACTTTTATCGTAGGAAGAGGAAATGGATGTCTGTGTGTGCCTGGGTGTAAGTGTGCGTGTGTGTTTGAAGTTGGACATATGAAAGCTTCCTCTTCTGTGTGAGCTCAACAGCAGGTGGGCTGGTGCGTGGGTGTGTGTTTGTATCTGCCGGGTAAAAGGACTGTCAGGACCTGGTGTGTGTGTGTGTGTGCGCTCTTACTTGTTGATTTAGCATTCTGATGGCCTCCAGGTTGCTTCGAAGTCTAGTCTGCATGTCCTCGATTTTGCTGAGGTTTAGAGCCACACAACCCTGCTTTTCCATGCTGTAACATAAGCGTATGCACACACACACAAACATATATAAGAAATGAACTGTACAATAAACCTTACTACCCGTTTGAGAATGATAAAATTTACTTTCCAGCTGCTGCTTGAAACTGGCTGGTAGTTGTAGTTTCCAATAAAAACACATTAAGTATACACTTCGCCTGTCATGGTCAACTTTTAAACTGTAGTATTTTTGTTCAATGATATGCATTTGCGAGACAAAAAACAGTTCCAATCAAATGTCCTCAAAATCTGGGGCATGAAGAAGATGGCGTACATCACCTTCATTATAACTTATTACTAAACTCAAAGATGGGTGAGCAAATGAGTTCCAGAAATCATTAAATTATATATGAAAGCGCTTATAAAACGGGGGAAAAAAAAATACAAAAACAAAACGAACGCAACCGCAGCCAGGGAACATTAAGAGTACAAGAAGCCATTTAAGATTTTAACTGTTTATTAAAAACGTTTTGGGAAATGACAAACAAATGTTGGGGTCTGCTATCTTCAGACCCAGGGCTGACTAAGGAATGTCTATTAAATTAACGACGGTGGATAATGGTGCTCTGTGCGGGCTGAAGATCTAGCTGCCCCCGCTTTACGCTCTTTCCTTCATGGCCCAGTGAACCTGTCCAGTTAGCATTCGGAAAAACCTTCTAAATACTTTATTGAAGACTTCTTAGCCCATTAAAGCACCACTGTACCTCCCCAATGTTAATTTTCTTGTAAAAGAGCAAGCTGGGATTTTCTATCAGAGCAGTGGATGGAAAGACGGTCCCGTTTTGCTTCAGTTGAGAAGACGGGCACGCTCATCGCAACGCTAATAAATGGCATTATTGTTCCTGTGGATGTGGGTGAGCTGAGACACACACACACACACACACACACAAACTTTTCTCCCTATTAACGATAACTTAAAACATTTAAGATCTGTGGAGACACTTGAGGGAGATGCTAATATGTGAACTGACATTTTTGTCGGAAAAGTTTATGAGATTCATTAGTGGAAGAATTCAGATCCCATGTATTTGTAACCATCTATGGTAAACCTCAACCAAGAGACAATAACATAAACAACAGTGACGGTAGCTCCACTGCATGAAAACACTTTCCACCGTACCATCTCTCGACTGGGATCTCTCTTTTGGTTTTCTATGGAATATGATGCAACCTTGAGTTACAGCTTATAGCTATAAAACTGAATAAAAAACAGTTTAAGCAAGAAAAGAAGAAACACAGTGAAGCACTTAAGGAAGGGATTCTATCTATTTGTTGTTCTTGTCATCATTAATGTTTGACTAATATACTGCTCACTGTTTCAGTCAAATATCAATGATGAAATTATTCTTAATAATAATTAATTTATTCATTCATTCATAATTCATACAGCAGCTGTCAGAACATAATCTGGATCACTGCCTATTAACCAACAAACTAATCAGGCTTGGACAATTTAAGCATTTCTTTTTTTTTTAAGAAACCTCATTTCCTGAAAATGAAATTCATAAACTTAACATAATTGCAACTGACCCTTCCAAATCTTTTAATTTCACACCGTAATGACGATACAAAGAACATTAATAAGAAGAAGTGCTGACGTTTCCTTTGATCTTTTAAATTGTAAATGCCTTTTAGAAGAGGAGTTGCTACAGCAAAGGGAAAAACAGGAGGCATAAAATCCAAAGCGCAACATCTCCGCAGATTCCTCACATGATTTAAACGCTTTCCTAGATGGTAATGCGGTCTTCAGCAGATCGTGAAACATCGCCGCCGCTGAGACAACTGTGTGAGATTTATGCACCCGATGTGAGACGCCTGTGCAAACATGTGCTCCCGTGCTTACACGCAAACATGGATGTGTGTAATTAGCGGCCTAACCCAATCAGCGTGTGTATAATTACAGTCATTAGTGTCAAAGCCAAGCTGCCGTGCTCTCTAAACCAGGCAATAAACTACATGGACCCTTCACTACTCCGATCTTGCTCTCATCTTTCTTATTTACTGCTCTCATCTCAAATTTTATGCAAGACTTGACTGTCTTCTCCAGCAGTCTTCTTATCTCCTCTCGCTGTCTCTCTGTCACTTTGGTTCCCTGTGTTTGTACAAATCCTCCGCTGTGATCACTGGGTGCTCTTAATTGGAAGCACATTGTTAATGGTGCGACTGATGATGCCTGATGCTTTATGAGCGGCCCCCCCCCCCCCCCCAGATGGGTTGTGTCAGACAGTCACAGCAAAATGCCTCCATCTCTGCCTCCACCACTTAGTGCATTTCAATGTGCACTTGCATTTGAATATTTTCAGATATCACTTTAGATAATTTGAGGTGAATTGTGAAAGATTTTGATGACAGATTTTTTTAATTGATTTGAGACTGGAGTGTCATTTCTGTTGAGCAACACACGAAGATGTTTGCATCTATGCTTGCATTGCATGCCTTTCAGATTTCACAGCAAACCCAGCAGTAGACTAATTTACAGCATAGACACTGCTCCGTGGCACAAACAGAAGCGAATTTTGCATTGATCCTAATGAGCATTGTTCCCAAGCCAAAAACCCTGGTCTCAGAACAACCAGCATCTCCAACCGGCCATCCAAATAAAGACATATACAATTAACAGATGATGAGTAGACATAGAATTTGACATCTCTTTACATAAAGTACATCCTTGAATTTGATACAATACTCTTCATTTTGGGCCTGAAACAACTTTTCGAACAGTTTCTTTTATCAATCTAAATGTTTACCTTCTCAATGCCTCACCTCTCCGTGGGCTTTACTGGTACAAACTGCCATCCATAATGTGAAGCCGTGACACTCCGGCTGCTTTGGAACAGAAGGCCATGCAATCATAATATATTTCTTTAATAAAGGCATATCTAATGACAAAGCCTCCACGCCGTGTCGATTGCTGCCAGTGATAGTGACAGCAGAGAGACACTGCAGATATCCCCTTTGCCACCAGTAATGAGATTTATACACTGAATGTATATGGCTGCCATGCAAATATCATGACACATCTGTTGCCTCATGGATGTATGATTTTCATACATATGGCATTTTGGTTAGGTGTGTGTGGGGGTCTACAATAATGAAATGAAATAAATTAGGAGTCCTCATAATAAAGAAAAGGGGAGAAGGAAATAAGAAGAGAGAATGGATGAGGAGACACTATGGAAGAGGCTTTCATTCACTGTTTTTATCTCGTTCCATGTTATTATATTCGCTCAATCAAAACCCCTCTTATGCATACATCTATATGAACTGCCTCTCTCGCTCTGTCCCCCTCTCTCGCTCATTCGCAATTATGAGGGAAAGACAAAGAAAAGCGATTCATCTTTCTGTCGCGGCCCCTTAATGATATCATTAAAATGACTGACAGCTTTGAATAGCAATGGAAACCTACTCCAGTCAAAACAAATCTGATCCGTTTTGGAAACAGAGCCGGGTGGTTCGTTAGGGGAGGGGTGCAACATGAGCGTGTGCATGTGTGTAAAACGGGGTGAGGTGGGTGAAGGGGGGGTCGTTAATGAGGGAGACCTCAGGGGGTCACACTGGGAGTATGGGGAGTACTGCTACAGGCAGGTGCCCCCACAAACACCCTCTCCCACACGCGCAAACACCCTCCATCTCTCACTTCCATCCTACAACCAATCCCATCTGTGCCACGTTCCTTTTAATTGCCTTAATGAACATATCAAATATATCTCCTCTCTATTGATGAATGCTATTTGACAGTCGTGGGAGTGGCAGGCACGAGAGGATGGGCCCTTGATTGGAGTGTAATCATTGTTAAAGGCCCAGCGTGAATAACGTATTCACATTGACGAAGAGACACGCACAGACACACACACACACACACACACACACACACACAAACATATACACACATGGGGAAACACAGGTGGCTAGGCCCACAGGGTGTTTCATTCACAACTTGGCACTCCTGCTGTTATTACCATCATCAGCTTTGTTCGGGCTAGATTGTGTGTGAAGGAGCGAAACACGGTGGGCAACACATTTGTTGGATGTGAATGCTAAACTCTGATCAGCTGGTGGATGCATATGTAATGCAAATGTATGCACTTATATGTACACTCTCTCACACACACACACACACACACACACACACACACACACACACAGAAAGATGACTCACGTTGTCTCTTCTTGCGGGAAGCCCAGGTCTCGGATCCAGGCCTGCAAACAATTAGAAATTGAAAGACAAACCTGTTTTTGAAAGCCTCTCTTTTGTCTCTCCCTACTTGTAGTTCATTGCTCTTCCACTTTGCACTTGTTCACCTTGAAGCGTTCCATGTCTCTCGCCATCTCATCCCCCACTTCTTTCAGTCGCTTTACCTCCGCCTTCAATGTGTCATTAGAGTCTTGAAGATGCCTGACGAAGCCAGGGAGATGCAGAGACAACATTTAACAGAGAAACACACACTCACACACAGAGAGAGACAGACACCTATTATCATCAAGAGACTCTAGTTAACATGGGAGACAAAATATTCCGCCACACAACGGCAATGGTGTCTGTGTTTCTCTGCTTCCAGGAGAGCATTTAACTAGCAGTTCAGACATTATCACACACACAAACACACACACACACACACACACACACACACATCATGATCTATTATAATGAAACACTGTATATATTTCAGCAGCCATTTATTACTTACCCTTGTGGCTATTTATTTTAGTATTTTGTGATGCCACCGATTTCTCAGTATCCAGAACTATTAAAACAAGTTGTAATTCTGATGTTTATTGTACTACTATATTACAAATCAGAAGCATGAAACTTTTATTTAATGGGAGGATATGTAGAAATGTCACGTTTTATTATGTTCAGGGAGTTCCTGTGTGCATGTAAGAAACATTCTATTGCTCCAACTTCACGTAGCCCGTGTGTTCCTGGTGTAAAAAGACAGTTACCTTTGCTACAGGTTACCATAGCAAAAACGTCAACAAAACACACACACACACACACACACAGTATCTTAAGAACGAGAGAGAGGGGAAAAAAGCAGACACAGACGGTTATGGTGCTGCTGGGCGGGGCTGAGGGAGGCACCACAGGGGGTGGGATGACAGAAGACAGCTGGACCGCTTTGATCTCTGGAAAAAGGAATATGTCACGCCCATGCCAATGTGTGTGCGTGTGTGTGCGTGAGTCATGATGACGCAGATATGCAGAATGACAGTCAGGTGCGAGCATGTCAGAGAATCCACCTGAATCACTCCGACACATGCACAGAAACACATACTACACACAAAAACACACACATCATTGTATATGCGTGCACACACACACACACACACACACACACACACACACACACACACACACACACAATATAATCACCAGTTTGCAGGTGTAGCGGTTTGCTGTGCTGTTTAACCCCCCATCTTTAGGCATCTTTAGTAAACAAACATACTGAACAGGATAGAGAGAGACACACACACACACACACACACACACCAAAATTCACTAATTGAAACAGTAGCGTAGATAACAAAGACTCACTCTTTCTCTTCAGTGATGATGAGCAGCACCTTGTTTTGGGCCTTCATCCGGGCAGTGAGGTTCTCGCTGGAAGCCCTGAGAGGAGAAGAAAGACTTTGACATGTCAATGTTACCTAGTGGAAAACTAAACCAAATAAGGCTTTTTATATGGACATAAACACCCACCAGTTAAACAGTATCTTTTACCTTAATAATGTAGTGGTGTTACTTTAACATTTATTCAGTGGTCATCGCCTTTACAGTGTACAAAACCCATATCAAATAAAAAGCATGCAAGGTACTGGGAACTGTTTTTTTCGAAAACAAATGAATTGAATTAGTAACAAAAAAACACATCACAGGGTTAAGTGTGGTCCTACTTTTGTTCAGTAATCCAACGGTTGACGTTAGTCATGACCAGCTGACTCTCATGGCGTAGGTTTGCCTTGTCAGACCGCGCCCCCTCCAGCTCCGAGAGGAGAGTGTCCACCTACAATTCACAGTCAAACATTACCTATCACAACGCAAGCTGTCATACAGTAATGGTTAATGCTGTGTTATTTCCTAACTTTAAAAACCCACCATCTATTCTCTGACTGGATTCGTGATGAACAGAAACTGGAACATTCACTCCATCATTGTTTCAACATGCATTAGTTAAACCAGATGTTTTTACAGCTTAAAAAAACATAACTTTCATTCATGGAAGATATAAACTTCTAACACTGGCACTCCAGATATGGGTTTAAGTCTCTCACTCTACACTCACACCAAAGGTGTGAAATAAAGGAAGGTAAAAAAAAGAGGGATAAGTGGGGCTCTAATAGATGGGGCGCAATGACAGGGTGAAAATAAATGTCAGAAATAGAGCCTAATAGCAACACAAGAAAAGAAAAAACTGTTCAATGGAGAATAATGGGGGATGAAAGAGATGGCATTTGCAGACGCAGGTATAAATAACAGGGTTAGGTATTAAGCAGGTGCAAAGCAGGAAAGATGGAGGATGGGGAGAGCAGAAGCAGACTGAGGACGAGATTGGAGAGAAGAGACGGGTGAGGGGTGAAAACAGGGATGGGATGGCACTGGCCAAACTGCTGACTTTTTCATTCTGCTTATCAGTCAAGACCTTTCCAGGCCTAAACTCTTGGGATCCTGACACATTACCCTTATCGCCATGGAAACACATTGATATACCATACCATTTTCCCACAAAGACTTGGGAAAACATGAAAAAAAGTTTCCAATATGTGGGCCATGATTTAAGGATTCCAAAAATGTCATACGATTAACCCAAAATGTCAAAAATATCAACTGCTGTGTGAGGTGAATCATGTACTGTGTGCATGTGTGTGTTTGTTGAATCCCAAACGTACACCAACATATTTTCCTGCTGATGTTTATCTTAAAAAACCCCACAGAGTTAGATGTAAAAGACAGCTGATCCTATAGATGCTGAGCGGACTGTAAAATAGTAAGCAGGAGTAATCAAAGAAGTGAGCCTTCATTTCATCAAACGACTTCAGTCGAAACAGGACAATATAGCGAAGAGTGGAGAAGCATCAAGATGACAAATACAACAGAGACGAATTGTCTGTAGTGTTCATAAAGTCTGTAACTTTGTGTCTGCTTGTTGATCCAGTGATTGTTGGGGATTATGTCAGTATGTACTGTAAGTCAAACTCCTACAAGCCACATCCACACTCACAGCACGGTCACCTGTGCACCGCAAGGTTGAAGTGAAAATAACATGCTTACATGTACAACTGTATCTAAGAGAAGCGAAATTCGTGCAACAACTCACAGCAACGTCACATATTTTGCTTCTGTATTATTGCAGCAAAATGTGCAATGTAGTATAACAATTTGCTGCGACATCAAATACTTCAGGAGCGGACAATGAATGAAAAAACCCCAGAGTTGTGATACTTGATACATACGTTGGCTAAAAGGATGCATTGCAGCGCTGGCGAAATCGATTGCATACTTCACATACTTGTTTTGTATTTCAGGACATTTAGGTTAACGCCACCAGGCTGACATGAGGTTTGTCATAAAGAGGTGACTTTCAGTAAAGTCAGATTGTAGTCAAAAGAGAAAAACAGAAAGGTTTGAGTTTGTCTGTGAGACAAGCAACATGGGCAACCCCCCATATGTCACATTAATGTGAGATAATAAATGTGCAATTCAAGAAGAGGACAACACAAATGAATAGGCTGCTTCACATGTGATAGGAAGTTGTGAAGATGACAGCGGTATATAATCAATGATTCAAATTTAATAACATGATGAAAGATTTGACTTTTAACTTCAATCAGAATAAGGAAGGGCTATAAATACAAACTGAAGTAACGATGAAATTACACCAAACAAATCATTTAATTTTGAAGAGTAAACTCAGTCAGGGCATCAGTTGTAATTGCATGTGTCAACAATGGAATACATATTGTGGATACCCTGTTTCATGTCATGCACGGACACATCTTCTTGTGAAGGAAGTTCTTATGTCGCCTAAAACCACCCGTTAATACTCCAATAGTAATTATATACACAGAAATATCAAAACACTACCATTCAAAAGCTCAAAACACCACAAAACTCACAACGCATCTGCACACACCTCCACACGCATGAGCATGCACACACTCACGCAGGCGGGATCTACGCTGTAATGACAGTAATTACCTGTGGTCCCACATTAACATCTCTCTCCTGACCGTCCGACTGGCTCGGCTAGTGGAGGGATGTAAATCGCAGCACAAGTCTGATGTTGTGATTAGGACTAAATTACGCACCATCACTCTGTTTCCACCAGTGTCAAGGGAGGCAGTGAAAGGGTGTGTGAGAAAGAGGGGGAGAGTGTGAGAGCGGGACGGACATTTAGAGAAAAAGGCACAAAGGAGGTGCAATTGCAGGCAGGGGGAGGAGTAAAGTAGCATACCTACTTAACATTTAGATTGGTTTTGTTGCGCAAATATTTTAGCAGATGATGGGGGCTAAAAGGGGCAACAAAATGCATTTGGGACACACTAACCAAGTCGGGCGATACCACTGGTCCTTTCAGGTCTATGCTAGAGAATATGAGTTTACCACTGCAGTGCTGGTGAAGGATGTGGGATCAGCTGCTGCAACAGTTTTTGTCATTTTGATTTGTTTGCTCTATCAAAAATAACGCAGAGTTGTCCAGTCCACAGCCCACACTTTTCATTGACAATAGAAACAATATGGACTTGGTGCAATCTTTTTTTCTGAACTTATACATCTGAATGAACTTTTATGACAAACCTCATAGTGTATCTGCAGGCCAAAAAAAAAAAAAAAATAAATAAATAAAATTGATGGGGACTTAAGCAGTTAATAGATTTTCCTTCTTTTCTATTCTTCATGGAGCTGTGGACGAGTATCACATTGCACATCAGCTTTAGGACTAAAACATACCAAGCTGTCCAAGGTCGTGGGATGAACATAATTCAAAGTTAACTTTTCTTGGGAAAGAGAGGAATATGAAGATGAGGGACTGGTTGCTGCTACCATCACCATCAAACCGCCAGAGCTAAATACGAGCCAGTACTCTGTTCCACTCAACTCTTCAGAGCACACCCTCTCATCAAATTAATGAACACATTTATTGTTAAACACGTTTTTATAAAACATTCATTCATTCTGTCTAATTAAAAGACCCAACAGGCCTGACATCACTTAAATATGCATACTTATCACTCACAGGGTCTGAATTAAAGATCTACAGGCATGTGTGTGTGTGTGTGTCTGTGTGAGTACGGTGGCAGGAGAGAATGACGCTCCCTAAGCAGGTCTTCTCACTCTAGGCTTAATGGTGATAATCATGGCGTGACCCAACATTAAGACCATGTGCGTATGTTTGTGTGTCCCTAATGGTGACGATGATGACATGTTCTCCATTAGACGAGTCAGTGGGCCACAGCAGATCTAGCATATTAATGATGCTGATGATGGCTTCTTTAATTACCTTCGTCTGCTGCAGCATGGCCTCACTCCTTTCCCAGAATCCTTTTTTATCACACTCTCCTACGCATGCTGCTGGGTTGTTTATCAAAGGCTGCCATCATTGAAGTCCCCTATCTTGTGTCTAAGCCTGCGTGAGCACAACTACATTACCAGCCTTGGTAGAAGATGCTCACCCACCAGCTGGATGAAGTTACCACATCTATCCTGTGCTACTCTAAAATATAGAGACGACTCTGGCTGTGTTTTGGGGTGCAGACTGTAAATGTGTCCATACATTTGCACATATTCGGAGTGCTCTTTACCTAGCCTCGGATCACACCGTTTCTGAATTTAATCGTAACATTACCAATTTTAGACAGCATTTCATTTGCATTTCTTTATTTAATATTGCATTCAAATTCATCGCAAGAATAATTGTTTTAAATAACATTTAATTTCCGAGAAGTTTGCTTTCTTCTAGTTTCTGAAAGGGGATGTTTTGTAGAAAAATAAGTTTAAAATGATCAAAGTAAGGCGAGTTCTTTTTTGGTATTGTACTAAATTCAGTCATGTGAGCACTTGCATCATTCAAAAAATACCAAACCTATTAACTTAACTCTGCATTAGATTGAATTAGCCAGTTCTTGAGGTTTGCAGCAGGATCACTGGAGAAAAAAGATGCAAACAGTGTTGTGCAGCATCTAGGACTGCTTTACTTGTTGGTAAGCTCCTACAATAGAAAGCTATAAGTGAGTCCTGGATGTGAGGGATTCCCATTTAGCAGACTGTCCGATGTTTAGTTGTCCAGGTGACCATCCTACAACAGTGTTTAGCTGACAGCAGCAGCACAAAAGAACAATTTTAGGTTTTTATTGTTGCTGCATTGTTTAGTGATGAGCTGATGCAGCAAGAGTTTGGAAAAACACTACCAGCCGCGTTATTTCTGCACCTTAATAGAATGTTGGAATATAAAATAATGTAGAGGTGGGAAAGCATTTATTTATTATTTTCCGCTACATGATTGATTTGTAGGAAACCATTTCTGCTCACATACACACATACACACACACACACACACACACACACACACACACAAAGTGCCAAGGCCAATCTCTTCTTAAAAGGCCCTCAGTTCACTTTAGAGTACAGTGAAGGAGGCCAGAACTCAGAAATGCAGGGTTATCAGTGAGCATCATCCTATTCACATGCTCTCTTAGAGAGCAGCCTTTGTATGAGAAGTGGGACATGCTATTTACTAAAACAAATACCACTTAATAAAAGTGGTGCTGCGGCAAAATGCTGAAAAGAAGAAGAAACCTGCTTTCATAGGTAGTCTTTATTCTTTGGTTCTGAGACTGACAATGACTCTATTTAAAGACATCATTAGTGACACGAAATAGCTCTTTCACAATCTGTGAATAGGATTTTAGTAGTTAAAGTTGCAGCTAAGGTGAGATGATTAACGGATGGCCTTGAGTAATTACAATAACAGCAATCCTACGTATTTGTATTTCCACTCATTATACAAGTTTCCTTTACCAAAGTCTCAAGCAGGTATACAAAAGTGAAGAGTCTGAACTTTGACTAAGTGATAGATTTTTTCTAAAGCGTTATATGAAACTAAACTAAACGTGACCTAAGAGTGAGATAAGTGTGTTCAGCGATCGGATTGTATATCAACCATTGAAGGACTGATCGACAACAGTTTGTTCATACGTTCATTCATAAGATGCTTAGAATCTGCTGTGCTGTGCAGTTAGATATGTTTCTGGTGGAGCTGCTGAGCCCCGTTAATCAGCCCGACTGACCAGTGAATTTAAAATCCTAGATTGCAAACCAATTTGCCATCTCTTGTCCATGGATCTAACTATAGCATCTCTGTTCTCCATATGCCTGCTCACCAAACATGTGAGAAGGTAACTCAATGGATAGGGCTGTGTCAAAATGTCATTTTTGTAGGTTTCCAAATGAAGCTTTGAATGTCTGTCGTCAAAAAATTGGGAATGATATGATTTTGTGTTGTGGTGGTTACATGAATGTACTAATTTGTGGTGCTGTAAGATTGGTGCTAGACCGCTCCGTTAACACAGGTCCGGGCCTCACTGTTGCAAGCGGGAGTTTTTAGTCGCAGTGAAAGTGTTTTTTCTGAAAGGCTAAAACGCCGTTAAAAAGCCTTTGGATTGAAGCAGAAAATGACTTTCCATGAAAAACATAATGTGAATTATGTAATGATTACATTGAACTTATTTCAATAAACGTTTACTTTTGGAGCGCCGTATCGCTGGCTGTGTGGGTGAGAGAGCGACGGAGAGAGGGGAAGAGAAGGTGGACTATCGCGCACGATGCCTCTGTAAGTTATTAGTAATAATTTGAATGTCAACATTATGAATGAAGCGTTGAACTATTTGACACAGCACTAGCTTTGGATATGACATCGTTGTGCTCAGCACAGACACGTAGACTTTTAAAAATAATTTGAATAGAGGAAACACTGCTATTAAATGAATTGAATGTTTAGACTTTAAACTTGTATACATGTTTATTCACATTACTAACTGTATTGCCTGCAAAACGCTGAAAGATTCAAGCATTTCAAAGTGGACAACAGAGGCTGAGCCACGCTGTTTGTTGCCCCCTGGTGATGCTGAATATACCCCATTGGATGATATGGAAATAGAAACCATTGGCCAAGCCTAATGAGAGAGAAACAACCTTTAAATATCTATGCACCTATTCCACATCTTTCTCTCTCCTTCTTCCTTTGCTAAATATTATATGCCCCTCATGATCTTTTGCATACAGCAACTGTGAGGTAGAGAAAGAGAGTGACAGCTAAGAGGGACACAGAAAGTTATAGAGACAACACAAGAACAATAGCAGCCGTGTCTGCTCGACTGTCCATCCCGTCCCTCAGATGAATTACACGACTGTAGGTTAATGAACTGTGTTTGAGGGTGATGGGACACAAGGACACGCATGCACACACACATTGAACAAATACAAAGGCCATTCCATGGTTAAACAGTCAGACAATTGGACCACTTCTCTTTATTCATCAACTAAACAAATGAGTTTCATTTGTCTGTCCTCGTTTCTCCATTATCAAACGTGTGTGTGTGTGTGTGTGTTTGTGTAAAAACGGTGATCTAGTGTGGGTCATTTTAAGCTAATTAAGCTTAAATTAGCTTGAGATCAATGACCAGATGAGAACGTTGGCATCCGGAAAATTAAGAAACACTGCACACTCATGATTGCACCGCCACATTTCAAATAAAAACAATTTTGTCTGTGATTGATACCTGCAAGTATGTGTCAAAAATGATTCGATAACTGCAACGCTGGGAAGCTAAATCACTGTATCAGTTGTGGAGTGGTGAAGAAAAATGGATCAAATTACATTTCTCTTTGTCAACCTCAATGTGCAGAATAAAACAGCTTCTTGTGATTCAGCGCGTCTTGCTCAAGTATACTTAAGCAGCGACCAGGCTCGTCTCTCTAATCACTAGGCAGGCACCCTACTGACTAGGAATGATTAAAAGCTACTGTCTAATTGTACTTCTATAGGATGACATCAATAGTTGTAAAAACTTTATGGGAATGAAAACATGCTTATAAACTTTTGCTATCTGAAAACTTCTCTGCAAATCCTCATTAAAGCTGTTTGAAACCGTTTACTCTGTGCTAAGAGAAGTTGAGGTAAACACACTAATGACTGTGATTGTGTGTGTGTGTGTGTGTGTGTGTGTGTGTGTGTGTGTGTCAGAGACAGACAGAGAGAGAGTAAGTAAGAGGGAAAAGGAGTGAGGGCTGATCTGATCAGTCACAAAAACACGCCTCATGTTTACCACAACTCGCATTTGAACTGGACTCATGCAGAGGGACAGGATCAAGTGAAGTCAGTGTGTGTGTACCCGTGCATGCCGAGCGGCAAAACATGCAAGCACAAACTTGACTGGCAGATAAAATGCAAATCCTTTTCTTCATGTCAGAAAAGAACATTAAACAAACCTGGAAAACGTAAACAAGACTTTGCATGTAACACACATAAAACAAACACAAACATATACACACTGTGTATACAATGACACACACACACACACACACACACACACACACACTCACACACACACACAGAAAGACAGAGCTATCTGAGGTTCAGCTACTGTGCACTGAGGCAATTTGTAATATAGATTTCCTCTATAGGCCACTGTAGTGTACCATTTACCATTTCAAACCCTTTGATTTTTTTCACCAGCGGATAATTCATCTTCTGCTGGTCAATAACAGAGATTGAGACCTAATGAAGGAGTCATAGTCAGAAGGGCCATCACACTGGTGTTTAAACACTGTTTGGAGTCAGATTCATTGAAAAGCCCATCTGTTGTTGAAATGATGGAACACAGCAAGAACGCAAAGGGGAAGTGTAACGGATTGTGTATGAGTGAAAGAGCATGCCAGAGAAGACACATATTCAAACGCATGCAGATAAGTACACGCACACACACACACACACACACACACACACACACTCCCAAACAGTTTACTACAAATGTGAGAATAAACTAGAAAAGTACACGCAAGTAGAGTGCAGATCTGAGCCAGTCTCCATCTTCCCTCCCAAACAAAGGAGAGTTGAAATTCACTTAATTATCCCTCCCGGCTGCCTTCCAGTCAAGATGGTGGTGAAGATTTAAAACAAGAAAAACAACAACAGGGATTTAGTCATGTTGTATTGTAACTAACTTGAAGGAAATTAAATTAATCTGCAGATGCTCTGGTTTAAAATGAGGCCAAACTTTTCGAAGGATGTCAGTTTTTGAGCCACAACAAAGGCCAACATGTGGCCTGCTGGACACGAGGCAAGGCTTGTTTTTAGCCTAGACGGTTACCAGAAATGCTTGCGGCCCTGATCCCGCCCAGTAAAGAGGAGCGAGGAGCAGTCAGTGACTGTATGAAAAACGTAATAAAATAGGTGTTTCAAAAATTGTGAATCACCGCAACCACAAGAGGTCCATGAGCATACAGTCATACATGAGGCTGATATGTCCAGTAGTCTACGAGATTATCTGCAGACACACACACACACACACACACACTCACACAACCATACAAATGATCCCTCCCAGGCCTAAGCCAAACTAAAGTTAGAGAGGAAGCCCACGACTCTCTCAGCAGTCACACAGCAAAGGCCGACATGAAAGCATTTTTACCCGTTGAGATATAGATGAAGAACTCTTCGCAAGCACTGGCTTGGCTACTGACTGACCAATCATCTGGCCTAAGTCAGTGTCTTACTGGCCCTGGGCGATCACTATTGTCAAACCCTGGTGCACTAATGTTAAGAGAAAAAAGGAGAGCAATGCTATGTGGGCTGCATTATTCACAAGGACGGAGTGAAAGAAAAAGTAAGGTGAGGAAGAGCAAGTGAAAGAGAGAGAAATGGAGAGACTGGGAAAAAGTATGGAGGAAAAGGGTGAGAAAAGAGAGGGACAGAGAACAGGAGAATGAAGAGAGAAAAATAAAGAAAAAGAAGGGAGAAAAGAAAAAGAGTAAGTATCAGAACAAAATGCAAAATCAAGATCCAAGAGAGCACGACTGTGCACAGGAGCTTAGGACGGAATTCAAAGTTTGTCGAATCTAAATGAACATCAGTTCCCCGTCCTGGCTTTACCCTTAATTATCCATTCTGCCTTTGTACAGCGGCGGCTCAGCTCTGACAACTGCTCTCCCCTGAGACGCCCTCCCCCTTCGCTCCCAGCCAGAACATTAGGGAATATCAGGGAATATTACACCCAGGAATTAATGCTCCAAATCACCTTGCCAGGTTTAGGTCCCGCATACACCCCTCCTTCTCTTGGACAAGATAATCCAGGCTCTAGCACCGGATATATGCCACTAATCATCAAAAAGGTAAGGGGGGGGGGGTAGAAGGAGAGAGAAGAGGAGGGAAGGAGAGGAGAGGAAGACCTTGGAGGGCATGAAGCGAGGAGAGGAAACCTCAACATATGCGTATTAGTCTACCTGTTTATGTCGTACAGTGGATCCACCTTATAAGAAGGGTAGGGTCACTTACAAAAATCAATACGCTACTGGCCACAAGGATTAGATGATTACATTTAAGTGACGTTAAGTGGTAAAATTGGTATAGCTTTCTGTGAGTATCTTAGAATTGTTCAGATGACAAACACCTCACCTGCGCTGTGCTCCAAGCCAATTCAAAGAAACGCTCAGACTCATTTGCAGAGGCTGTGTCACTCAGGTCTGGTGTGCATTTATTTACCTGTTCCACGGCATCCCGTTTCTCTCGCACCGCCTCGAGTTTGTGATCGACAGCCTGCTGAAGATTCCTCCTCAGCTCTGCCACTTCTGTCTCCAGCCTCACAGCCATTGACCTGCACACACAAACACAGCAATTAAATGTATCACCGTACTAGAATAAGGTAAATTATATTTTAAAAAAATCAGTCACTATGTTTTAGTCACCCCAATATCTTGGATGCATTTTTTTTGAAGTAATTTAAATAATTTCACATTCATTATTACAATAAACCATCCTAAAGACAAACACATTGAAAGTATTTAATTCAATATGAAGTTTTCTCGAAAATCAAGATCTGTGGGAGTGTTTAAATAGGCCCAGTAAGTGTGAGTGTGTGTGTGTGTGTGTGGCAGCCGAGCTAAGGGAATGTGAAGGGGATCAATATGAGGGGGTCTATTCCTGCCACGCAACTGTGCGTCCGTGTGCATGTGAGTCAGTTAGTGTCTGCAAGTGTGTGTGTACACGTGTGCGAGCAAGTTTGTGTGTGCCAGCTGCCCTGGCTACAGCGAGATCAATACGACAAATGATTACCATTTCCACAAACCTCCCTCCACAGCCTCGCTTCGGCCGCTCAGTGAGCCTCAACACCCCAACCGACCTTCTCCACACACACATGCACACATGCACCAAAACAAACCAGCCCCACTCTTGACCCGAACCTCTAAAAGCAAATGAAAAATTAATATTAAACATATTTCAAGCAAGGTTTTGGGACAGTGGACTAAAGTTAGTATATTATAGATTTTACAGTAAAATAAAAAGAATGACTATGCAGTGAAAGATCACAAAGTCAGCATTTAACCATTAGTTTTTTTAAATGGCATTTGTGTTAAATTGACACATATAGAAAATACCCAATAAATGATGCACATTTCAATATCTACCACTCTCCCTCTGTACATCATCTGTTATTTTTTCAGTTATTGATTTAGGCTATTGACTACCAAAAACATTGACCTATCACAAGTTACTAGATTCTACTTTTTTTAAGGCCGCAACTATCAATTGTTTTTATTATTGAGTTTTGTTTTCTCTGTCAATCAATGAATCACTTAATTTATAACACGTCAGTGAAAACTGTCCATCACAGTTTCCCAGAACTCAAAGTGATTTGTCCAAATGACATGTTTTGTCCAACCCACAGTCCAAAACTCAAAAGATATTTCCATTTAGTTTCTAGGGAAACTGGAAGAATATCTGGCAATTTTTACTTTAGAAAAATGACTTAAATGATTTATCAAAATTGTTGCCAGTTAATTTCTTTCAACAATCAACTAATTGGCAAATCATTTAAGCTCAAAGTTGAGGTATTTTTGAGTTGTTGTTTTTTTAAATCTTTAATAGATGGACAAAAGCTTAGTCAAAAAACAAGTGCAGTATTCATCAAGAAATGATTATTATATTTTCAAATCATTAATATATATATTTACATTCTAAAATGTATCCAAATAAATGATAGTTTATCTCAATATGCAGATTAATTCACTACATGTTGCAGCACTGAAGCTAAAACTAACAGAGTAACTCAGTGGTAGTAAAAGCTGAGGCAGAACAGCCGAAACCAAAAGGAGAGAAAATGCCTGATAGATCGGCCCATGGAGAGAACACACGATCGGATGAACAGAGTGGAAGGGAGAAAGGAAAGGAAGAGAGGAGGCATCCTGTGGAGAAAGGAGGGGATTTCCCACAGCACAGATGGAAGCCATTAGTATGGTGTTGTTGCTTAAAAACCTTTCATGTCTTTGCAGTTATTAGATAATACTGGGTTAAACAGTAAACAGCATGATTCTGCAAATGGATATAATATGCAGACACAGCGATTGCTTTACCATTCACTACCTAAAATTGATTTAACTGTAATAAAATGTAATAATTCATAATGTAACCTATAAAGTCTCCATGCAGAGTTTGAAATTGTCGTTGAAGATGAAAATGTTCCATGGCTCAACTTAACCATGAAACTCCCTATATGAGACCGTTGCAGTGAAGTCGTGTCGAAGCCAAAGCCACAACCGCAAATATGTGCGCACAAACAGACACACACAAACACACACTCCTCCTGGGTGATACATGCTTGCTGATGTCATCACCGCAGCTCTGGTGACACACAGGGGTCAACCGGGGGTCTCGCCCCTCTCAACTCTGAACTCCCCGACCTCACAGCTGCTTACCTACCGTGTCCCATCAATACACATTTTCACATTTGTTAGATTCACTCGGGTGCAGAAGTTCATTTTCCGCTGGGATATCCAAATCTTCAGAAATAATAAAAAGTTAGGCATTTCACTTTGAAGACTTTCTTAAACAAGGCACGTATTTAGAGCTTAGGGCTGTTCTGTTCAACACATGTTCAGTTATACGGCCTACTGTACGCCGCATGCGAAAAAGCTAAATGTTTTTGATTACCGAGTTTACACAGGGGACCATGGGAAATAGGATAAGAGAGGAAGCTTCTTTCCCTCTCTCCCTCTTTCCCTTCTTACCTTATTTTCTCCTCTGCTAGCTTTCCCTCATTCAGGCAACCCTCCATCCGCCTCGCCTCCTCTGCACGGGCTGCCAACTCCTCCACTGAGCAGGTGAGAGAGAGAGGAAAGACAGGGGCAGAAAAGTGTGAGATGAAGAGCAACAGTTCACCTCAGATGCTGTTGGTTAAGATTCATTAAAGAGTATTCAAATGTCCATACGACAGGAAAAAATATACATTCTAAATGAGATATTATATTGCCAGATGTACGGTCAGATCTTGAAGCCGAGTTCATTTTGTTTTCTAATTCATTTAAAGAAAGAAATATGGAACACATGTATTTATATACAGTAACTTACATGCTCCAGCAGACCAAGGTTTAAAGAATGATTTACAAAACTTGAATACACAGAGGTGATTATTGATTCGCATCAAGTTCAGCATGAAAATATGAACCGCGAGCCACCTTCAAAGCAAAAACACACTCCGACCACAGAAGAAGCGCTGAATGCCTTTCAGAGGCAGAGAAGGCAGAGGTGAAAGTATTGCACTGCTTGCACTTAAGACGAAGCGGCAGCCCTTTTGTTGAGAGACATAAAAGCGCGCTCCCCGAGTTGGTCAATAGATGGCACTCTTTACCTTGAGCAAGCCAGTAGAGCTCATACTACTGACTGCATCCCTTCAATCACATTCCCTTTTCAGCCGTCCCCTCCGCCTACATGCAATAAAACCCCATTGTCCTACACTTAGTAGTTTAGCACATTGAGTGGTTCCTTGGCTAGGTATGCTTATGCAGGCCCTTTTTTGTTTGAATTTAAAATTTAGGATTTACCCCGCCCCCCCCCCCTTTTTTTTTGTTCTGTATGCTATTTTGTGAGTCAATGTTTCTTCATAGCTCTTAAAACCTTTTCACTATATTCAGTATTCATTGAATATAACATAAACTGTCAGCCATCGGTGGTCAAGGCTAGTGAATATTGAAGAGGTGTGTGTGCTGAATATGTAGAGGTGCACTCCTGAGTACTGTGTGTGTGTGTGTGTGTGTTGAATATTTACAGGACGGACCATGACTTTGTGGGTGTGCATGTGTATTTGAGTGCGTGGAATAGAGAAATGTTTATTGTATTGCTGTGATGCTTTTCGGGCCACGCACCACACTGTGATGGTAGTGGTGGTTACAGACTGAACAGGGGGAAGCTAAAACCAATACCAGAATGGAGGAAAAGGAGAAAAGAAAATCTACATTTAATAAAGCCATGATTCATTTATGATTTTGCAGCATCCAAACTGTTTAAACCGAAGCCCTGGGAAAATTGAAGCTGCAACTGGAATTACTAAATATTTAACGATGCAAAAACACTTTTATTTGTGTGTGTGCATGCGCCTCAACCTTGGCTATTTCACTAAATCTCAAGGTGAAAGTTTGAGTTTTGAGTTTATGAATCTCAATAATCAATAAGGCAGAAATATGAAAACTTGAGTTGGGGGATCAAATTCGCAATCAAAGCATTAGTTTTGAGGTGACCTCAGTGACACGTCCCACCAGGGGAGGCCACAGAGAGAGCAATTAGCTGCATAGATTGACCGTTTACATAAGCGCTCCTATCTGTACCCAAACACACACACACACACACACACACACACAGCAGAAACACTAAATTAAGTGAAAAGACACTTCTATATAAAATAAGAAAAAACACAAAAGTAGAAAGCAGCAAACATACAGACATACAGCAGGAGTTTACTTTAGACAAAATAAGATGTGTGGTATGTTTAGCTTAGTCTGATGACCAAATGCTGCCAACATTTTCCACATTAAAAGAGGATCCGCAGAGGATTGTGGATTTCTCAACAATCAATTCTTCTTAATAGCTTAAAATAGATGCTTCATTTCCCCACAATGGTATGGCACGGCGCTACTTAATGCACTCTTTTTTGGTTTTCCAACAGCAAAAGTTGTGTGTAGTATTTTTTTTTGGGTACCGCCTCTAGCGAAGTTCCAAGTGAGCCGAGCCGGTATTAGAACCCTGATTGGTCAGAGAAAACTGTCACTTGCACAAACCTGCCATACAACCGTCAATAGTGACGGCAATTGTATTTTTATACACTCTACCCAGATTTTCTTTTTTTAAACCACGCCGAACGCTATGCCATACATTTGACGAAGTGCTGACATTCCTCTGCTTGGTTGCCAATGGAAGGATTCAGCGGATGTAGCGTTGAAGTTGATATCAGGTCATTTAATGCTGCGTAGATATGGCGATCAGGTGAGAATCCGGCCTACACTGAGTGGGTACTATCGGCAGTGGAACACAAAATAGAGAGAAGGACCTGGTACCAAGAGGGAGTCAAGTCAAGCCGAACCATGCAGTGGAAATGAGACATGCGATCTTGGGTCTCTTAATTTCTTGACCCTTTTATACTGGCTTCACAACTTATGGTATGACATTAGTTCATAATCTAATCTCTCCTTCTCAATGCCTTCATAAGAGCTACAAAGCCCATCATACAGCATCAGTTTATATTCACAGATCTGCAGTCAGATTACCCCGCTCTCGTAGCTAACCTTTAACATGAGAGGGACGAGAACCCGGCTAACCCTGAATCAGTGGTTGGGGCTGGGCTGGGCCCTGCCTGGCCCTCATAAAAGCTTCATAAGGCTTCATAGGGGCTTCCTTTGGCTTTGTTGGGGGATTCGTAGCGGGCTAAGGTGCTCCCGAGAGACGTCCCAAAGCCTCCCAAGACTCACTCCCTCTCTTTCTGAAGTTTCATAGGCTTGCAACACTGCTTTTGGGTATAAGCCAAAAGGTGCAGGCGCACAGCCGCACACAGTCATGCACACAAATACACCACAAGAAAAAAAAAAAATAAAAATCATATGCACACAACAGTGAACACTAACAAAGACAAAGAGCAACACACACACGTAGAATCTAAAACTCACACATACACCCCAATACACTCCCCTCTTGCTCTCTCCTCTTCGCTTTATTTACAATCCTCTGGCAGCGGTACAAGGGCCCGGGGCTATAACACACGGCACCTAATGCTCAAACTGCCAGGTAATCTCATGTCTGACATCCCCCTTTGATAGAAACTGATCAATAGACTCTTGTAAAGGAGTCATTTTCTCTGATGTTTCTACCAACCACTTCTCTCTATCTCTATCTCTATCCCCTTCTCTCACTATCTCTCTCTCTATCTCTCTCTCTTTCCCCCGTTCTCTTTTATTAGCCATACATTTATAATTCATATTTCAGCGGGGCCAAGTTTGCTCTGAGACAAACGGGGGGCTTCTTTGTGTAATAAAGAACAATGGCGGTGAAATGATGGGGAGAAATGCCAGTGTTTGCTGCTGGTTCCGGTGAACAACAGTTTTGGGGATCGATAGAGTGTGAAATGGGATTATAGCTAGTAATAGAGGTGAATTGGAGGAGAGAGGCATGTGCACGTGTGCGTCCAGGGATCCAGATTGGATAGCAGCACACACACACACACACACACACACACACACACACACACACACACAATAATGATTTCATCATCTTTAGGCAGATGCACATCAGCAGCACAGAGTGGTGGTAATATCACATTTCTGTTTTTGTGGAAGTGTGGAAATATGGATATTGTGTTTTTGTTTATGCTGTTATTTCATTTGTGGTCACACAGCATCACATTTATTTCACATTACAGCAAACCTTACAACACATCTTATTTAAGATGTAAGATGACACGATCAGCCACATTTGAATATCCATCTTTGGTTGATTTTCACAGGTGGGTCCTACAAAAACATTTTCCCAAAACAATTAACCAGCCATTTAGATTATTAGGCATACAGTGTTCTATGAATCTGATTAACAACAAAACTTTTCGACTTATTGTCTGAATAAATGTCTTAAGAGTTTCAAAAATCATGCCACAAGTCAGTTCTTAATTCAGTTCAAATGACCCATATATACTGTAAATACAAGATATGTATGGTTCACACTCTGGCTCTCCACTTAGTGAAGTTTAGTGTTGTGTGGTTTACTCTCCGCACTGAATATTTAGTAAGAAAGAATATCTAGTGAAGTGGTAATCATACAGAAAATGCATGCAGTCAAAGAGTGACATTAAATTTGACACATACAGTCATGTGGCAGATTTCAGGATTTTCCTCTCTCCTTTTTAATCACCCTCTTCTTTCCTGTCTATCCTGCCACAGTCTGATTGAATCCAGCTGCCTTCAGCTGCTTCAATCTCATCCATATGACACTTCTCTGGTTCCCAACTCATCCTCCCATCCTCCGATTCTCTCACCCTGTGGACATTCCCCCTAGCTGGCCACAAAGACCCTCTAATATAATATCCAACACATCCCAATTACAGTACAGCCCTGTATACACCCAGTTAAATGTAGGACTCATGCAACATGTTACCCGTCTCACAGCACCAAACAACTTTACAAGTAACAAAATAAACCATAGACACAATAACATATGTAAGTTCAATAATAATTGAATCATCAGCTGTAAAGTTTTTACTCTGTCATTTCACAGACAAACAAATAACATCCATTAAAACAGAAATAAGTACTGAAATTACGTAATAGTCTTAAATATGGTGTTTTCTTTTAAATGTACGGTGGACTACTGCCGGTTTTTCTTCATTATTTTACAGTGTACCTTTTTGTGTTTGTCCATCTAACAATCTGCATTCTAACTTGTTTTTTGTCACAATCTACTCCATCCTAGACCAGCTCTACTGTTATCGATCATCTCCACTCAAGATGTTGTTTTATAATACAGAAAGTACCTCAACAAGGGCTCCATGTTAATAAAAAGGGCCTTTTGTCCACAACAGTCATTTCTGAAGCTGACTCCTCACCCAGTCTATTCAGGCAACTGCTATATCCAGGTAAACAATGCCCCCTTTGTTATAATAATGCACCTTTATTCTTCTTAAGTCATTACAATAGGCTCTACATTGTATTTGCTGAAGGTAAAAGCGTAATAATATGTGGTTTTGTGTGGAGCGTAGAGTTGAGGGAATGGGTTTTGATCACAGACAAAGGCCAAGCTACACAGCGTTGTCCTTCTGTCTCTATCTGGTTAATGAGCAGTGTTCACCGAGCAAGCCAGCCACTCTCTGCCACAGAGAAAGACCTCAGATTCATCTCTCTGCGGACAATAGGTGAGTGTGTGTGTGTGTATATTTGTACCTCGGAGAGCAAGCGTGTATGTGCTAATTAAAGCAGTGGGAGTTGGGAGAAATGGCTGTGTGCGTGTGTGTATGAGAGGTGTTTGCCTGGCGTGACCGCAGATGTGTACGTTAATTCTTAATGAGACATTTCTGTGCCCAGTGAGACCCAGCCATCACCATTCCTGCACTGCCATACTACTACAAAGGCCACCATCAGGTGCACACACACACACACACGCACACGCACACACACACACACACACACAAGATCATTACCATACCGCCAAAGCAGTGTGCCATTAAATCAAACCTCTATCTACAGTGTGTGTGTGCGCGTGCGTGTGTCTGAGTTAACATTGCGTGCAGACAGCTAGCAACCGAATTCACCACATCGCTGCACCACTGCTGGCTAATTTGAGCTAACTGATTGAGCTAACAGCAGTATGGCTGGTTCAAAACAAAAGGCAGGGAACACTGTAAAGCTTCTCCAGCATCCTATATCCTCTGATGGCATCCACTGCCAAACAAGAAAAGCAGAGCGACTAGTGTATCAAACAGTGAAGTGAGATAAAATCTCAATTCTTTAAATTAGACTTTTTGCTTCTGCACCACTTTCTCAATTGTGCGGGCCACTATATAAATGCGGGTTAATATAAATATTAAGGATTTGATAAAAAACTGTATATGTACACAATACGTGTATGTGTTTGATGGATAAAGGGACAGATGGATGGATGAAATGAGTTACTGATAGATCTATTGACTGATTGCTACCTGTCACTTGCAGCTTGCCGCGCAGCTCCTCCAGCTCTTGACTCAACTGCCTGACGCGACTGCTCAGACTCCGTTTCTCTCCGATGGCACTCCTCATTTTCTCCTCCCCCTTCAGTAACTCTTCCTGAAGTCCCTGCACCTCTGCTCTCTGTACAACCAGCTCGTTGCTCCGTCTCGCTGCCTCTCGTCTGGCCTCCTTCAGCTCCTCCTCTGACTGTCTGAGAAGTGCCACACGTACCTGCAGTACAAGTAAGGGTCAAGAGTAATAGTGGATAAGTGACTGCGTCTTCATGCGCACACACACGTGGTGTTGTGGCCTCGTTCAGATCAAGCGTCTTGCTAGATTGGGTCTCGAATGCTTTTCACAGCTGCCATAAAATGTGTGTGAGTGACAACTTATTATTTGATTTTGATTCCCTATCTTACATTTGCTTTTATCCATGGGAAACCTTGACTGAAACATAAAAAAAAAAAAATACATGTTTGCCTCTGTCTGGAGAACAGCTGGAGAACATTTGGTGGCTCGCTTCAGACGCAAACTTGAAAATCATGTCCGATCTGTTCGGCATAGTCAAATCTATTGTGTCAAGGTGTTTGGAAGGCATACAGTAGTCAACTCTGCATAATGCAAACTCATTAGAAAGTCCTGCTTACCGACCACTTTATTTTATACACCTTGCTAGTATATGTAAATGTGTCCTACCACGACGCATTATGTGACATTAGGCTGAATAAATAGAAAAGACCTGAAAGCAAGAGGAGAATATTCTACAGTTGCATATATGTGTGTGTGCTTATTAAAATCAACATGTGCCCATGCATATGCTATTCTTGTTAAGCATGACATGTCTATCACTTGTATGTGCCAGAGGACACACAAATTAATGTGTCAAATCAAATGCTCCCACTTGCACCGAGACCACACACACATGAATGATGTGGCTATGACTGCCAGCAATGTTGGCACTTTGCCAGGCTACAGTTGCCACTTTGAGTAATTTTAATGTTTAGTGTCCCATTGAGCTCTTAATTGGAGTCAATTTGACCAGCCTTGGCACGTTCGGCGCATTAATTAATGGCGAGGCAATTTGTTTCTGCCAGGCAATCACGGGACAATCACATGAGTGGTGGGTCTGTGGTGCCTGTGGAGGTGGGTTGAGTACTCCTCTTTGGGAACTTGAATTGAATCTCCAGCTCCATGTTCGTAGCCTGAGATGCATCCATAGGCAAAATTTTAGGACAGTATATGAGGCGACTTAATTCAAAAGTAGAGGGGGAAAAGGTCAAAATAACAGGGCTATCTCTAAATTAGAGGACAGGACAGCAGATACGCATTACTTTAATACCTTTTGGGTGTCCGCCAGCTCAAGCTTTAAGCGTGTAACTTCCGTTTTCAGACGTATCACTTCCTGTTCCAGCTGGCTGCGATTGCTCATGTTTGTGTGGTGGGACGCAACAAGACTTTGCCGCAGACCTGCTTTTTGCTGGGCTCTATGGGTAGGAAAGCAAAGACTGACTGGCCCGTACAAACTGCTGTGTAAAGAATGCATAGCGCCAATAAATACAGGGAAAGAAAAATTGTCTGTAATAAGAATAAAGTAAACCAGATAAGCATAATTAATAGATAATGATTTCAATAGATTATTGTGTTCATTAGTATCTGTAGATAATATATAGTGTGCTACTGTGTGCCATTTGGCATGCAAGCTGTTAAGAGAATGAGAGAGGAGGGGGCGGAGGCAGATGGGAAGGGCACCAGAGGCGAGACAAGGACAGGAACCGGGATCAGCCGAGGAGAATGAGAGTTTTATAGACTCAGTTATTACTGTCTCTCCAGCTCTGACTTCATCTGAAGAATAGCCTTTTCACACTCTGCAAGGCGCTCAACCTGCTCAGTGCAGCGCTGAAAAACACACACACACACATGCAGATACACACACACAAAAATGTGGGTGCTGGAATGTAGCAATGTAATGTAATTCATTTTTTCTTAAACAAAATTGAAGTCAGAAACATGAGTTATTTTTGAATATAGGTAGATCTAAAAAAATGTTCTCTCGACTGGTATCGCTGAATGGAACTGTAAGTACCGAATATGCAGTGAAAATATGCCCATCTGTAATGCGTAACCTTAAAGTGTACAACAGCACAATGCATGACCGCACCTTCTGCAGCCGCTCTCTGTGTGTTAGCAGGCTGAGGTACTCATCGTCAGAATGAGAATGACTCTGTTGGTATAGCTGTAGGTCACACTCCAACATCAGTTCCTATGAGTAGAAAGAGCAAGTGAGATAGGTAGAGAGAAAGAAGAAAATTGTTAATATTTCATAGAACTAACTTAACTGCTAAATATTGCTTGTTTTTGGCAGACTTTTTTTATTTATTCATTATTTATTTGGATCCCCATTAGCTTTCACAAAGTGGTCGCTAGTCTTTATGCGGTCCACAGAAACAATAACAATAAAAGCAATTCTAAAACGGTGTAAATAAAACAAGAGAAGACTAAACAAGCCAAATGTAGGGATCAGAAAATACAGGGAAATGGCACTACATATGAAACAATAAACCATGATGACCTAACAATGGAAACAAACACAAAATTGTCACAAATGAACAGCAACAAAAATAACAATCATAATAATAGTAAGATTAAAGCAAGCAATAACTAGGGTGGTGTTAGTCATTCATGCACTGAAAATGAAACCACCAAAATGCAAACAACTGATTCAAAAAAGAAGTCCCAAAGGTATCAATTGTAATGAATTGCATTTCTACAGATAAGCATTTTTGGTTTACTAATAAATGACAATCACACTGATGTGCCACTAAGTAAATACATCATTATGTGGGACACTCATTTGTGAATTGATTTGTTGTGTCGCAGAGCACAGAGACACATGGCCTTGATGTTCTAAGCACAGCTGACAAACTCCAACACTGCCAACATAATATTAACACGTGAATCTAGCGCGAGAAACTACATTGGGCAATGGGTACCTAAAGATCTTAGCAATGTTCTCATAATGACAAAGGAATGTCTCCTTGGAAAAAAAGACCTTGTAGCTCATTGTGTTTTCTAAATGTATCAGTAGCCTCAATCTTTGTCTATTAACTGCTGTCCTTTATATAGGCAAATTATTTTACTCATTCAAAAGTGGACATCTTTGTAGGAAAGGAGAGGAATTCCACATCTTATAGTATTCATCTTTACGTTAGTGAAAATATTCCCTGGTCAGAATACCAATGGACTAGAATATAGATAGCATTACGATACTATACTGTATAAGTAACATTTCTTTTTCCATTTGTGCTCAAACATGATTTCACATTCATATTTTTATACATTTGAAATTATTTCACTTTTTCTTTCAATTTAGATTTTCTTGTAAACAGGGAATTAAGACATCCGTGATTTAAGGGTTAGCTGAGCCCAACAGTTGCACGAGGTAGAGAATTAGCAGGACGTGAAGCTCCATAAGAACTCCTAACCTCTTGATAGGCGCCTCACAATCAAAGTCATTAGCCAGTGTAATAAAGGGCCTGAGATACAGCCATTCTTCAGCAGCCTAACTCTTTTATAACCAACAGATTAAAGTTGATTGGATTAAAATGACATTCTGCCCGTCTGACCTTGGCGGCAGCAGTTAAGTTCATCCAAATTAAATTTCTCCGTAATAAAGATGATTCATTTGTTGCCTGACGTAGTAAATATAAAACAGAAAGAAAAAGGAGAAAAGATTAAGTGACACGCTCCAGTGCACCCATGCACACACGCACGCATACTCTAGGGCGCAATGACACATGCACACAAAGGCCCCATGCATGCCCTCACACAACATTGATGAAGCTGACAAGCACCTGGTAGCTCAAGTAAGAACACAGACACCCAATTTGACTGAACCGAAACACTGGCACACCAAATCTTCCTGTTGAGAACTCTGCCCCCTTAGAACAAATACAACCACAATGAAGATTGAAATAATATTTGTTTCTTATTTTGAAATGAAAGACCGTGGCCATGTCCCCTGCCTATGTTTCCACTAATCATCTCCCAGGCAGCCGCATTGATTTACATAGAAATATTAGCAGGAGCATGTACAATGAAACACACAGTTCTCAAGGTATCTTAAATGTTGTAGTAAAAGGAATATTCCAAAATCATGAGGTTAGGACTGATACAAACAAATGTTGTTGTTGTTGTGTATACGTATGCCTGCTGTTTGATTGTGTCCGCCTGCTCCTGCAAGGAACCCACCGGGCCTTTAAGGTAGTCTGCTGTTTGTTGACTCTCTCTCAGTAGATTCTGGTTGGCCTGGAGCTCATCCGTCAACTGGTCAAAAGCCTCCTGGGCGTTCTCCCATTGGCCAACCTTTTCCAGCCACCGCTGCTCCATCTCAGCGAGCTCTTCCTTCACTGAATGCGTTGCCAATTGGGAATCTCGTAGCTGCCAATAAAACAAAGTGAGTATGGCAACGGGTGAATTTTAGCCTATTTATTTAGAATAGTTATATAGCTGATGAAATCTCTTCACATGGTGCAGAACAAGCAAAATGCAATAATGATAATATACTGCTATGATATACCTGTTGCTGTGAATACTGTAGTTCCTCTTCCAAAAGCTCCACCTGCCCTTGCACCCTATGCACCTTCTCTATCGCTGCTGTGTACTTTTGTCTAAAAATGGCTACCGTTTCTTTCTGCTCCTGGGCTTGTAAACCGGCATCTTTTATCACCTCCTTGGCTCCTTTTAGCTGCTGATGAAGAAGTTCCATCTCAACCCCCTGCTTCTTTAGCTTCCCTTCAAATGTCTCGACCTGAGAGCAAACACAGTAAAGTGAAGCGCAAATGATGAGAATAAACCCTTTCATATTTATTTAAATGGAACAGCTCTGGTCTGATGGTTTGGTAGTGTGACCAAAACATTGTTACATTTTTAAGGAAAGCAGCATTTTGAGTCCCCTAACGTTTAGGTGCGATACACCAGGTGTGTGAAGAGTTACAGAGTGAATGTGTTGCAAGTAACTGGTGACAAAAGCAGCAGGAAGCCTTAATATATGTACAAATAAAGACAACTGAATGAACTTAAAGAAATGTTGAAACTATTACAGCAACAGCCGCCCTCATCATAAAGCTGCAAAATGAAAATGTAAAACAGGACACGTCGTCGTGATTAAAAAAAAAATAAAAAATAGTGGTACACTAGTTTGTCTAACATGGTGCAATACACTGTGCTGCTCTACAGTAACCCCGCTCATAATGAAAGGGGAACCCAGGAAGTGAAACCGGGCTTAATCCCGGTGTTACACAAGGAATCCTACCGTAGCTCACCTTTCAAGGGGAGAGGTGGAGAAAGTTAAACCCGCTCTAACACTCATCTTGAGTTCATCCACGTTAATCCCGCTGTAATCTGGATCAGAACATGAGGGTTTACAACTAATGACAGCCAACTAGTTAGATTTCAGTGGTTCACCGCAGCTTGGTTTAACCAGGGATTAGCTGGGCCCATCTAGGACTAACAGAAGGCAGCATGACTGGGTAGAAAACTTGCTCATGTAAAGGAAAGAGACACAAAGCAGAGGAGAGGATGGAGCGGCAACATCTCCTTCTATCCTCTAGTTTAGAGTCAAAACTGAACAACCCGTGTAGGTGTATGTGCGTGGACTGTTTAAAACCATTGACACTGCCCATGTACACTCGACTTTATTCAAGTGTGATGGTGAATTTTTATCCAAGGTTACACAAGGTAACAGTTTTAAAGTCACACGCACAATATAAAGTAAGGTGTCATATGCCAACTTTACCTATTACAGCTGAACTGTAAATGTTACTTGATCTCTGCCTTAGTATTTCTCTCCTTTTAATGTATCCACTGCTGTCGAAACACTAATGGTGGATTTAGCGTTTCATTCTGTCGCTGGATGAAAGGCCTTATAAAAAAGGCTTAATGGGAACACCATGGCTTTCTTGTGACCATAATCAGGAGCTTGTGCTTTGAGGAAACAAACAGCCCCTCATTAAATATGATACATGTCGCTTTGACCCTCATCTGGCCTGGTATTTCAGTATTCATGGCTGCCACATGACTACCCAAGATGACCCTCGTTTGATTGCAACTTCATTCTCCTCTATTTTTTATTTTTAATCTCTCGGCCCGTCTTTCCCTCCCTCTATTCATGTTTTGGGTCCAATTGGATGTGAGAGGTTGACAAACAGAGGGGTCATCTTGTCTTGTTTGGTAATTCAGATGATGTAGATGGGGATGTATCGAAGTTGACTACAAAATAAAGCTTGACTGCTGTAAACGGGTCAGTTTATTGTTCTTGGCAAAAGACTGACTAGTTGATTGTCTACTGTGATTTAGATCACTCACACACAGACGCATAAGTGCATCCAATTTTTTTCTTTTTTATGTTGTTCACTGGATTAACGCAATAGATTGTTCTGCTGAAGGATCATGGCTCAACTGATTGACAACTGAGCACACAAAAGACTTGCCATCTCAGCGGCTATGTGCTGCTGACTTAAACTGCCCTTGAGCTTTGTGACCTTCGACTCCCGATCCTTCAGCCTGCTCTTTATTTGGCTGAGCTCAGAGTTGTTCTGCTTCAATCGGCTGTGAAGCAGGACACTCCTCTGGCTCCAGCGTTCCGCATCAATCTTGAGAGCTTGTTTCACAGCTTCCAAGTCAGAGTTCAACTGATCTATAGCTCCTCCTCTAGGGGAGGTGGAGATGAGCGAAGGTGAAGAGGAGACGAGAGAATGCTTCCTTACCTGTTGCTGGCCAATACGGAGCTGATCATGTAGCTGCTGCTGTTCTTTCTCTTTCTGCTCTATAAGGCACTCGATATCTCGGACCTTTTCGCTAAGCTGACACCTCTCATCCGGGTGTCCTCTGACCTTGTGTTTCAAGTGTCTCACCTCAACCTTCAGTGCTGCCACCTGAGCAAAAAAAGGAGAGGAAAAGGATGGAAATGGAATAACTTCATGTAGACATACAAAGCACACACAGACAGACAGACAGAAAAGGCAGCGAGGGGGCGGCAGTAGCCAAAAAGTGAGGGAATCAGGCTTGAGTCAGAGAATTTCCCAGTTTAGTCTCAGGACCAGTTGGGAAAATGTGGGCATGGCAGACATGAATGAGTAACGATTTCCCCTTTCCTTAGCTCCAACTTTCGAAGAGCCTTTGAGCAAAGTGCTACACCTCCCACAGTTCTAATGGAGCTGCTCAGTAGCCAACTGAACAAAACTGTTGCTGGTTTGGGCACTTCCCTTGAGTAGATATGTGCAACTCTGTGGGTGTAAAACAGGTCATTGTTGGAAAAAAAACTAAAAAAAAAACACAGGGGTGCTCACTCAACCTAGCCTCAGCATATCAAAGGAAAAAACAAAAAATAGTAAGACAGGTTGAAAACCCATGCAGACTACCTGGAATTGAATATAAGCCCTGAAACAAATTTAAAACGCCAAAATGGAAACACATCGGAAACTTATTTTCTCACCGAACATAGCTGGAGAATGCAAAAGTAGCAACATTAAAAGGGACAGGCGTGATGTCTTAGAAATAGTACTTTACGCAAAATTGATCAAAACTGCAATATTATAAATTGAAAATATACTCAATAATCTTAAACACAAGTAATAAATACAGTGGTAAAAGCCCTGATAAGTACATACATAGATAGAAATGACAGGAAAAGCACACATCTACATACAGACATAAACAAGCCAGCCACCTGTTCCTGTTGCCTTTGATGCTTTTGTTCAGCTGTCTTCATTTCAGCTCTTAACTGCAGAATTAACTGATCTCTGCTTCGAACCTGAACACACAGGAAATACACTTAACAGTAAATATACAAATACATTGTGGCACTTCTGCCCATCCTTCAGTTAAATATTTAGTTAACAACTGCAGAATTTGATACATAAGTCTGACCCATGCACACACACACACACACACACACAAACACACACAAGCACACAGAGACAGAGAGAGATGGACCTCCAGGTGCAAGGTGTGGACTTTCTCATGGCTCAGGGCCAAATCAGCCTCCAGTCTCTCTTTGGTCTGGTTGACGTGGACAAACTCTCTGCTCCGGTCCTCCATCTTGGCTCTCAGCTCATCGCTGTCCTCGCTCACTTTCTCCAAAGCCTCCTCTCTTTCCAGCAACTGGGAAATATGCAATAAAATTGAGCCACTCGATCAGTGCTAAGATCCTACAGTACTTCACAACACCCACATTAGGGTAATGAAAAAAATATTTTAATTAATTAAATAACAATCTTAAATTCAAATGTACTCAAATATTATTTCGAGGATCAAAAAAAACCCACTCAACATTATCTAAAGTGCATTACACATTAATAAATTGAGTTTACATTTTAATTCCACTATCAAATAAAAATTCCAGTAACATTTGAGAGAGTAATCAACAATCAAATGTTCATTTAACACAGTTAACATTGATATGAATCATGAGCATTACAATTTCAATTTGTGGAATAATGAAGCTGTTTTCTTTACCTCCTTTTGACATTCAGAGTGCTGCATCTTACTCTCCGTGAGCTCCCTCAGCAGCGCGCACATCTTAATCTCCCTCTTCTGAATCTGGAAGAACAAACACATTTCTAACGGTTTAGGATCGTCGGATAATGTTTCTTTTCATTGCAAAACACAGATGCTCTTTTTGATGATATTTTGACATTATAAGTTTATGTTAATAATCATATTTCCTTAAATCCTTTGCAACACAAACTGCATCTCAGGAAACAGCAGAATTTATGTTGCCGATTACAAAATTTAAGATTAGATTATCCAGTCTTGTTTTTTACATATTTGTGTTTACGGTAACGGTGGTGGAGAAATGGTTGTTTATGAGTGTACAGTATTTCTGACAATTTCCTGAGTTTGTGTGCTTCCTTGGTGACCTTCCCTAATTACCTACTTCAGTAATATGCCAAATGTGTGGTGTGTGTGTGCTTTAATGTGGGTGTGATGCCTCACACATTCATGGTTTTCCTGTTTACGGTCAGTCTAAATGGACAGGTATCTGCCACTGTGCTGCCTATTTTGAGCCAAACAGGTTACTGATGTATTTTCGGATACATTTGTACCAGCACTTATGTCTGACTAATTTCTTTGATAAGATTCTAAGGCTTTTCTTTTAAGCTTTTAAATATCGCATCTCCAAAATAAGAGGAACCCCCCCATGAGTGGTAGTTAGGGAACCAGGACTGTTATATATATATATAGGTTAGTTAATTATACTAAAACCCCAGCCCTGTCTTACTCCACAACCTAAAAAAAACAAAATAATAATGATGATGATACAACTAATAATAATAATAATGAAGAAATTGTACTTTTCAGTCTACTTTGGACTGCATATTTAATAGACGTAGTCTCTGCCTTGGATTTATATACACACGCAGTCCTTAATGCCAAACAGAGTTAAATGCCCTCTCTTTCCCACCTCCTGCCCGTCCTGCATGATCCAGGGATTGTTATGACCAGAGTTGAGGGCTCGTTTGTAACTGTCCTCGGGGATTGATGGAGTTAACTTGGCTCTTTGACCTCTCACCTCTGGCTGTCAGCGGCCAGGCTCGCTAAACACACTAAACCTGAGCTACGGCAAGGGTAAAAAAAAAAAAAAAAAAAAGAAGAGAAAAACACTGCATACACACTGCCATGCACATAGCAGCTAAATCACAAATGAGTGCTCGCGTAAACACGCAGACTTTTTCAAATAGGTCTTGCCTGGACAGTTTTGCATTCCATGGACATTAGATCAAATAGAACACGTTAGCACTCAAAACAAAAATTAAAAATGACCAGGGCATACATTTAATGTGACAAATACAAGTCATTCCATTTACCCATAGCAAACACTACACTTACTTCCTGACAATTTTCAAATCTCGGTTTGATTCATCTTCGACTGTGTGTGTGTGTGTGTGTGGGTGTGTGTGTGTGTGTGTGTGTATCCCCAATGTGAGCGTGTGATAGGCAAAATGGATGTTGATAAACACCGGAGGATGTCGTGTCAAAACAGACAACTTGTCAAAACGACAAGCTAACTAGGTCAATCACAAAGTTTAAGGAGAAACTTTGGAGTGGAGCTTTGGTTTATGCATATCTCTACGTGGATGTCTATTCGCGTGTGATAAGCCTCTGAACGAATCTGCAGGAGGGGACCTCCAATATCGAAGGTATTTTTAAATCAATGAGCTCTTAAGTGTATCTCAGTCTCAATGTGTTCACATATCCGCACGCACACAACACTCAGCGCAGACAGAATCCCTACTGACAGGCAATGACAAGATAAAGAGAGGGAGAAATAAGGGGGGGAGAGAGGACGACAGGAGGGGGAGAAATAATATTTGAACAGTTGGGGGTAGTGGAGGGGGGGGGGGGGATGAAAGCGAGAAATGGCAAAGGCAAGAAAAGAAATGAGCAATAAGTGCGATCAAGAGAGAAAGCAGGGAGTGAGGAAAAACCAGTAAGCCATTCTGATGGTTGTAACGCATTGTGAGGACCAATGTTTGTCCAAGTCTAACCTTGAATCTAAAACAACCTTCCACAGCACTGCCCACCTACCACTGTACTGCTCTTTTGTGTCTCCTTTCAGTTTTGTTTTCTTCCTCTCCCCCCCCGCACCCCATGTCCATTTCAAATAATATGCAATTTGAAATCTTATATCTAATGCGCTTTACAGAAGATCTATGAGCGCATACTCTTCAAAGTGATGTCGCAGTGTGGAAGCTGGAGACACTCTGTGCAGGAGTGTTAACAATAAACAAAATGATTGGACATCACATATTGAAATAACATTCACAGATCTCGTTCTCATGCTGCATCTTACGAGCACATAGAATTGAGAATGAGTCACACGGCGAGCTCTCACGCTACACTAAAATGGAGCGAAAATGCTCAATTCCTTCTCTCTTGCTTTGAATAGCCTCCATGCAGATTTGAGTCATTGATCGGCTCCTATTCACAATCAAACTATTTAAACACGATTGTGTCATGGAGACCCATAAGATGTAAAGGCCGTGAGAGGACCAATGTGTAAGATCCGGCAAGGATTTTTGTTTTAAACTACTCAACTTTTAAAAATAAACTAACATTATCGACTAAATATGATAAAGTAAGTGTTGACACTGTGTCAAAGACATCTCTGTATTGTGTTGCAGAGTGATCTACGGAAATGAGCATACTAACCACGTATAGCATCAGCCCGTCCTGTCTTGTAATATCACTCATACCTCGAGAGGAGATAGTGAGTCACTCTTGCGTCCAGTCTGCCCTCAGTCCAGAGGACGCAGAAGTAGAGTACAGGGTCCATGTGGTGGCAGAAAGGAGAAAACCACTTGTATTTTTGTTCAGTTCTCAACGCCACCAGTACGACACTTCACAGCCGAGTCGCTGACTGAAAACTCGACCCATTGGATCACAAGGTATCTCCCCTACATCCTGCAACCTCTCTCCTTTTTCCACGTTGCTCACACTAAATCCATCCTTCCGTCTCTCCCTCCTGTGTACATTTATGACCTGAACATTTAAAAGAGGAGCCTCAAGAGAAGGGACTTTTGGTTCTGAGAAGATGAAGCGGATCGTCTCTGACAAAGCCCCTTGTCATGTTAATGGCTTCACTGCTTTCAAGTTCCTCAGTGGGGGGAGTTTGGAACACTTTAACCACATGTTAAAACTGCAGCGACATGTGGCCATTTGCAAGAAGATGATGTGTGAGAGATGGAGAGAACTACTAATACAGATGAAAACAAGTAAAAAGGGACACAGATAAATAAAGCATAGGGGATTAAAAAGACATTAAGGAGGATTGTGTGCTTAAAATATTACTTTGACGCAAAAAAAGCACAAACATCTGCTTTTATTTAGTGAATTTTCCAAGTATTTTTTTTGTTTTCTACACAAAGACAATAAACAGCTGATCTAACTGGACATGTTTACACCCCAGGACCCAAATCCATGTTCCCATCTACTTCCCAGCTGTTTGAATTAGATCTAAAAAATAAAAAAGGAAAATAAAATAAAAAAAGGGAGTGGACGACTCATTTTCTACAGAATACGCAAACTGCTTTCCTATTCTTCCGAGTAGAAAAAGCCTAAGTGAGAGAGGGAGAGAGTAAAAGAAAGAGAGTGAATCAGCAGAGTACATTACAGATGAAGCAGCATGTTGACAGTATTTGTTCAGCTGTGCTAATGTTACGACATTTAGCTCTGCAGAGGAAAAGTTCTCTCACTTTCACTTACAGTATATTCAAGTGGGAGCAAGCACCCTCACTCTCTTTTACACACACCTACTGCTACCACTGTCCATACAGTAATGGAATGAAGTGTGCATGAGAGAATGCAAAGCTGGAAGTGTTTGTGTGTGTGTGTGTGTGAGGTTTTCTGTGTGTGTGTGTGTGTGTGTGTGTGTGTAAAGCTTGTAATAGATCAGAGAAAGAACAGTTTGGGCGCATAAAGCAGCACCAGATGTGGAGCAGAAACCAGATCCCTGGACAGAGTGTAATGGTCTATCCGTTGACTTAATCAAATCCAAACATGACAGACACAACCTCACACACACATACACATGCAAACAGACGTAAAGTATACTGTAGCTAATTGCATACACTCTATATCCACAACATAATAGACATGAACAAATAAAGAATTGACCAATCCTGCATATTTGTTGCACCTGTGAAATCCTAACGTGTTCATGTTCACTCCAGCAGAGTGAATAACAAGAGGTCAAAAATATTTTCTAAAATCTCTTATTCTACCAAAGCCCATTTGTTGTCATATAACATGAGCTACAGAGCATGGAGTCTTTTAGATGTGCATTCTATAAACTGGTAGACTGCTGTAACAATAGCCTCAACCAACAAGACCCTGACCACTCTAACTCTAAAGATACACTGCAATGAGTCGGTGAAGAGACGAGCCAGCGACAACTACTGATCCTTGTGTGTTTTTACAAAGCCAAGTCCTTGATATTCACCAATGGCTTACTGAAACCTAGTTAATGAATACAAACAACTGAGCTATATATATATATATATATATATATATATATATATATATATATATATATGATTTTGGCAGCGCAAAAGCTGTCTAACAAGCAATATACAATAGGATCATTTCTTTGAGTTTTCATGCAGTCCTAGCTAAAAACAAAAATCCCATTTTAGCAGAACAATCCAAATTGATGTCAAGTCTGTCTTCGTCAAAAGTGTGTGTTTTTAATAAGGCTCTAAATATCAGAACATCCCATTACCCATTATCTAAAACCTTATTATCAGCACCATTGTAGAAATAGACAATGCCTGTCACAGTGAATATTACATTTGAAAATTGAATATTTAAATGAATCCCTCACCTATACAACCCTTCTTATCGGCCCCATTGTGGGGAAAAGACAATGCATTACATTAAAGTGAATATTATATTTCATGTCCATCCAGTAGAAATTGCGTATTTTCAGTTTAACCATTTCATTAACATTTTCCGCTTTTGTGTAGAAAATGCTTCCTGACCTTTTGGGCAAACGAACTCGCTAATAATGTATCAGTGATGACAACACATGGCCAACAACAGGGAAGTCAAATGCACTCGTCTCAGTTTAAGTGTCACAGTTGGATGGACAAGCAAAGTTTTGCAAGAATATATAACTTAATTATTGGAATTAAGACCTTGAGGAAAGAAACCAATTACCTTCTTGTCAGTGGTGTGACGCACGTGTATTAGCTCCTGCTGCAGATGCTCCATCTCTTCGTTGGCATGGTGCAGCTGGTCTTGGATCTGCTGTCTCTGCTGTCTTTCCGTGTCCAGGCTGATTTTGGTCTGATCCAGGGTTTTACGGATGTCATTCAACAGGCACTCACTGGTTTGTAACTGAGGGGAGAGAGATGAAGAATAAGCAGAGTATGTCTGATCCAAAGACTAAAAGAGAGGGACAGTCACAAGCAGGCGGGCAGCTGTAGACAGAGCTGAGGAGGAGAAGCACATGAGGAGAAGAATGGGTGAACCGTTACAACAAGATACAAGCAGGAGGAGAAGGAGATGAAAGTATAATTTAGGGACGTTTGCCTCCACTCTGTCTCCATAGCAGTGAAAAGGAACAACATTGAGGCTTTGTGCCAAGTTGGGGAACCCTACAGTTACTGCTTTGACTCAGGACCAATAAAACTGCTTGACTACACATAAAGACGTAGGACGCTAACTGTTCACTAGTGGTTCTTAAACCTTATCGACAAGGCTCGCTGGGAGAAGTGATTTTTCTATATGCTCCACATCCGACAAGAGAAAGAATATGCTATTATTAACATGGGTTATTATCAACACACCGCGTTTCTTGAATGCCACTGCACTATTCTATGTGCACTGATGTAATGCTGCCAATCTCATGTGCACACACCCCTGGAATGGTTAACAGAAACCTGTTTCAAATGCAGTGAGCTCCTGTTTAGTTGTGTCAATTGTAAACGGTGTAACTCCTTGTATTGGCAAAATAATTTGGACTCCAATACAAACAAACATTAGATCAGTAAAAGAAGAGGAAAAACAGACTCAAAGCTGCGACCCAGAGTATGCAAAGTCAGCCCCAGCACTCGAAGACATGTGTAAATTCAAACTGCTGCCACCTCCAGACTACACTAATGATGTTAGTAAGGTAAAGGGAGAAATTAAGTTAGTGTTTGAAAAGTAAAGGGCATGAAGTCAGAATCTAAGAACGCCTTTCAAGTGTTCCCTAAGTCAAGTAACTAACGTGCTTTTATGTTGAATATACTTTGTTTAGTTGGCTCCCGGGCACCCGCGCCACTAAAACACTAGTAACAGATGAATGACTTGGTTTGGTCAAGGACACAGTTAATGGGTTATTTTAAGCCTAAAACACATCACTGCCACGCTCCGCACTGATATACCTAGAGGGGCAAGAGGGGGAGGAGAAGAAGTAGAGAGAGAGAGAGAGAGAAATACAGAGAGAGGGAGAGAATTATAAAAAAGAAAGGAAAAGGACAACGAGAGAAACCTAAAGGCCATTCCATTCATCATGCGTATGACTCTTTAATGTTCCCATACATTACCATTGGTTCTCATTGGGGCGAGGGCGAGACCGGACAAGAGATGAGAGAGAGAAAGAAAGCAATCAAGAAAGAATGATCTCAAGAAAAATAATGAACGGACAAAAGAAAGAAACAAAAAACATTTAACCCCTCCCCCACTCTTGCTCCATCTCTTGGCTAAGTGATATTCACAGGAACACGGTTCTTTATTGTACAACGAGCCAACCCTCTGCGGAGCTAAGATGGTGGCGATGAGTTATTAAATATGGAGAGAGGGCGAGAGAGGGAAGGCGGAGGAGGAGGGGAAGAAGGACGGATGATTAACTGTGAAGGAAGTAAAAAATGAGGAGAATTCCCCAATGCACCTGACTGGATTTGATTTAGAGAAGGTTGCCCAATTCAAGAGGAGCTCCCCTTCTGTGTGTCTGAGAGAGAGAGAGAGAGAGAGAGAGAAAGAGAGAGAGAGAGAGAGAGAAATAGAGAGTGTGTTACCTACTTTGCTCTGCAGTGTAGCCCGGCTTTCTTTGAGCTGTGTGTTGTCTTGGACCAGCTGTTGCTTGTGTTTCTCCTTCATAGCCAAGGTTCCCTTCAGAGAGTCCTGAGAGGCTCGCAAACTAACCACATCCTGGTCCAGGTGTCTCACATGCTCGTCTCTCTCTTTCATCTAACACACACACACACACACACACACACACACACACACACACACAAAAGAAAAGTCGGTACTGTACGTAAACATATACACGACAACTACAGATTGTAGATATTACATGCCTCGTAACAATGTAGATACAAAAAATGCCAACAAAAGAAGTATACTTGGCGGCATTATTTCACCTTAATATTAGTTTAATATTAAGGTGAAATTAGTTTTCACCGACAGCATCATTATTTTTCAGTAAGAGAATAACACACATACACGTTATTTACTTGAAAACTACAAACAACTGTTGCTGTGCATTACTTTTTATAAATGAATGCCTGAGTTATCATCGGGAATAAGAGACTAAGGAGGCAGACAGAGGTTGAACTCCTCACCCCGTGCGTGGTCGTCAGTGTGTGCGGGCCTGTGGTTCAGAACCCCAAGTCAAATCAAAGCCCCTATTCATTAGCACTGTGTTGAAAGAGCCCTGTGTTAGATTAGTAAGGAGGCTTCATAGACAGTCAACACACATGCAAACATATACACACAGACACACACACAATGTTGTTAGGATCATTTAAGATATGTGACGACACACAATAGAGTCACACACACACACACACTTAGTGGGTTCTACTGTACAGTGCAGTATCCTTCTTTATAGTACAGGAACAAATCCCCCAAAAAGACTTTAGCTTTTGCGATACCCCTACCCAGCAAAGCACAACCATAGTTTAGAACTTCTGCCTCCTCTAACAGCAGACTGTGGTTCTGAACTTGTGTCTTGGCACAGACACGGCCCAGCTCTGCCTCCTCTCCAGACGATGCAGTATATATATATCATCCAACCTGTTGTAACGGCGAGCTTAAGCTGGTCTTTTATGCCGTTAACTCATCTACAGCATGGCTAATGGATGGTAACAATTATTAAAAAAATGGGGCAGCCAGTATTGCAACACTGAATTAAAATGACGCTTTTATCTGGATATTCCCCAAATTGTAGTGTGACCATTGGGAAATAAAATAAGTTCCAAAAAACTGAGACAATAAGGTGTGAATTTCAGTGCTTCAGCCAAGTCCAGCACATTACACAAGTGGGCAAAAGTCCGTGCTCTTTATTTTAACCCATCAAGAGGGATGTCAGATAAAAAATGTATATGAAGCAAAAGAGCACATTTTCTACGCATTTTAAACATTAAATGTTAAAACATCGATGTTAAAGCAATGATTGCTCCAAAAATTCAGCTACTGTAACTGTTTTACTGTACGATTCATGTTGATATTTCAGATACAACAGACATTATATACAGTACATACAAATATTACATACAAATCTTTCTATAACTGGCACCATTAATCCATATCAATGAGTTTTCAACAGAACTTGAGGGTGTGTATTTCAAGAAAAAGCTTAGGTCTATGGTAGCAGAGACTAAGGTAGTGCCAGTACGGGGCTCAGTTAAAAGGAACATGACAAGTATTTTTTTAGAGTTCATGTAGCAATACACTGTGTGCCTTTTTTGTGCCGAGCAGTTATTCCTGTAAAGAATGAAAGTGTAACCGAATTGACCCATGACCCATATAGGCCTACACATAAAAGTAAACCCCAAACAGTCATTTTCATCAATTGATAAGTTGTTGTTTTTTGTCGAAAACACTCAGGAAAAGAGCAGCAAATCATGATGTCTCTTATTCAATGTATAAGGTAAACAATTAGTTACTTCATCACTACTGTATAATTTGAGGCCCTGTTTCACATTTGAGGACATTTTAACAGACCATTCTCAACTTCCCTTTAGTACCCCATGAGACATTTGTGAAGAAGTGTGCGACTTAATATGGATTATAAAGTAATAGATATTATCATATAATCAGTTTTTTTGCTCTTGTATGCATGTTCAGATAATAAAGGTCACATCAATCTTACAAAGCATGTAAGCATTTCTGATACATATCCAAACAGGGTATTTAGAAATGAATTCATATTTTGTGTTGCTCATCATTGATTCTAATTTCTTATGAACTTAGTTCTCTACTCAAACATTCATACAGTATATTGGGTTTATTCACAGTCCCATCCACTGTATGGTCACTGCTATTCATGAGGCTGCTTGTTAAAGATCACAATGTCTGTGAAAAACCCTTCCGTAGCCCAAGGTCTTTACGCCGCTGACTTTCAGAACTCTGTAATATTGTTACATAATGAATACATTACGGTGAATTTCCTCATCTCCAAATCTGCCACCATCAGGGATGATTAAAAGTTCCCATGTGGTCTGTGTAAAGTCTTAATTCTCCAGTGGGGGAGTGTAGGACCTTGGCTGGAAGTCCTGAAGAAAGTATATCAGATTTGTGATTTTATTTCAAATTAGTGCTTAAGCCTTGGACTTTCATATTAGTAGTCCCTATTGAGAGAGAAGCCTCAATCTGATCAAGTCTCATTACTTTAGCAATTAAGGTTTCACCCCTGGGGTCCTCCTTTCAGCTCCGGCCCCCCCCCCCCCCCCCCATCTCTTTTCCTTTATTCTCTGCTCCTAGCCATCATATGTTTTTGCCACCAAGGCGGAGGAGAGGAGAACGGGAGACCGGCTTGCGTAAATCCTTGATTGGCCAAAGTCTATCCTCCATCTAGGATTACGAATAGAAATAGAACATTTGAGGACAAAGAAAGGAGGGGTGAGATGGAAAGAGACAGAAAGAAAAAAAGAAAAAAGAGAGAGATTGAGTGTGAGAGGGAGAGATGTGAGTTGCAGAGTTATGGGCACAGAAAGGGAGAGGGTGGCTAATATAATTGAATTAAAAAGATGGAGCGGGGCCATTTCTAAGCAGGTGGGAGTGTGGAGTGAGAAAGAGCAGGCGAGATATTAACTTCTAATAAAAGACAGATTAGAGAGTGGCTAGGAGGACTGCTCTGTCTTTACCTGTGGGAGTGACAGCCCCCCACATAACCTTTCACTGCAATATGCACACCGATATTGGCCGCCATATTCTGAGCATACCACACAGACGGACACACATATGCACAAGCATCCATCCAAGCATCTAGGAATCACACATACAGTATATATATACAGACATATATGGAGAAATATATGACATTTAAGGAGACACACACACACACACACACACACACACACACACACACACACTCAGTCATGAGCGCAGTGTGACAGCAATGCTTATCAGCTCCCATTCAATGATCCAACAGGCGGCAGCCATCAGATAATGAAGACGCAGCTCTTTGGGAACCAGCTGCTATTCAGACAATTAATTAACTAATTGATCTAACGAGCTCGTTAAAGCCGTGCTTTTTTTGGCAGCCGCTGTGAATATATTAACTTGACTAATTCAATTAAACAGGTGCAGATTTCACAGCTGCCTCTCCCCCGGGCGCACGCACAAATCCTACAGGTGTTGTGTACATGTTCGCTCCATTTGACTCTGACGAGCCTTGAAACCTTGGCATTCGATCAAAGGCATAATGATATGCAGATCAAGTGGTGTGTACTTGTGTGTCTGCGTGTGTATTTCTGTCGGCGCTTGTACCTCAATGGGCCTGGTGTGCCTTTGTACCAAAAGTACAGCTCGATAAGCTCGAGCAGCATTGCTAATCTGTATAATTTAAATATAACAGAGGGGGCTCCAAACAGATTGAAGCACTATGAATGCACTTAAATTAGCTTACAGGATCCTAGGGGTCAACCACTGAGGTTATCCAAAGCTGCACAATGCCACACAATTCTTTATTTGCTCCAAAGCTTTTCAATATTATATATTAACGTGTGTACTTGAGTGTTTGACACTAAATAGGCAGTCTACATTCACGACATATCATTACTGGGTAAGCAATAAAGTTTTTGCCAGTCTGACGATCGGACACATGCATTTAACGATTTGTAACATCTAGCATAAAGTCATGCCTTAAAATTGTACCGAAACACCAAAGCGTGTGTGTTTGTGTACACATGCGATCTTACCTTTTGTCTCACTCCATTCAGCTCTTCAGTTACTTGGTTAATCCTCGCCTCTTTCTCTCCCAGCCGTCTCTCAAACAAGGCACTGAGCTCGCCCCTTAAAGACACCATTTTGGCTTTGGCCTGGAACACAGTCAGGGGTTAACATTCATTCACTGTTATGAGCCCTATAACGAAGCTGTGGCGTGCACATTGTCAGATATTGCCTATATACACATATGGATGCACAGATTATGTATATTACAAACTAAAGCACACACTCGATCAGAGTGGGACTTTTGATGACACAGAGCTTCTCTGAAAGTGTTGAGCTCTTAATGCTCTGATGTGTGACCTGTGTGTGTGCGTGTGGAAATGTATATGCATGACCAGCATTGGTGGGTGTAGTTTGTTATGGCAGCAGGTACATCAGAAGCTCCCTCATAGGCCAACTAAAGCGCTGATGTCGGTTGTTAGCAAAACTCCCATGGAGATGAGACCACATTCATTTCCCTTCGTCTTACTCTCCTCCACACCCTCCCCCATGCATATAGGTCCGCCTTCTTTCCCTTCCCCCAGCCCCCTCACCCACTGCTGAATATTAAATCACACCTTTTTTTTTTTAATTTGCAGATAACTACGGTTCATTTTTCTCCAAGTGTCATATAGCCATGACATGGTGCAGGAGCCTATATATTAGGGATGGCTGATGTGAGTTATTGTTGTCTTTTTTTTCCAATTTACTGCATGGTGTGTCCTGTACACTATGTATGGCTAAGTCATTACCTGCACATGTGGTAGAAATATTGAATAACACCATTAGTGTGTTGCAGTGAAATGTCCTATCTTGAAGGTAGACGTGCACAAGTTGCAGTCCTAAAGGAGCCAAACAGCACCAAAAGGCTATGTTTCACCAAAACACAGATATTGCTTGGAGTGTTTTGTGTAGTGCTGGTTTCCTGGTAGTTAATAATGAGATCTGTGTTTGAGAATGTTTGTGTGTACAAAGGGAGAAGTCGAAGAGAGGTGGATCTATACTGCTGTAGTGTGTTTTAGAGTGATTTTTGCGAGGGAAGAGGGAACTGAAACACACAGAAGAAATATACAATATACAAGCAATCCTGCAGTTTGTCCTATGATACTAATATATATATATATATATATATATATATATACTATGTGCAAATACAGACTCAGCCATTAATGTGTGCACGCATGTGGACACAAGCAGACGCAGACAGACACACACCAAGGGTGACATCATTCCATCATTCAATGTCCCCGCTGCAGATGAAATCTCATTCTCCACAACAATCTGAGTAGCCCTACCCCCTCCTACTTATTCCGGGTCTTCACTAAATCACACCTTTCTTCTGTACCAATCTGCACACCTGCCCTTACTTCATTCTTATCCATAACACATGCAGACCAGAAACCATCACACACACACACACACACAACCTGTGTGTGCTCATTTGTGTTTTTGTCAAGTATGATCAAATATTTATTTACCCCGATATTTGCACACAAGTTAACACTTTGCAATCACCAGGCCTTGTTCTTTACCCGGACAACAACAGCTGCTCGCAGGTTTTAGCTTTTCTCTTGCATTGTTGTGCCTTCCTATCATCATATTACTCCACATCACCTGCTTGCATAGCCTGGAACCTCGCCCAGCAAACTGGGGAAGTGGGAAGTGATTTGGAAAAATGAGGGCAATAAAAAAAAAAAAACACAGGGATGAATGGAGAGATGTGATATAGGGTAATATGCTAACCCAATCATCAGGCTGCTGTTTGCCGACAGTATAATCAACATATCGGCCTAATGTCATTACAGCTATATGAGGAATAATATTGCGTGAAATGATATTGCGTGAAATGATATTGCGTGGCGCGTGCACGCCTGTGTACTGCACACATGGACGAGCTCACATGTGCAGATGTATGTATCACCTACCACTTCCTTGGCACAGACAGGCCCGCAGACAGACACACACGGTGACAAAAAGATGCAAAAATGATCCATGCATGCACACACTGCAAAAATGTATGAGACTTATTCCTGTGTAAAGAATTTCAGTTTTGTTCCTTTATGATGTCAAACAATGAAAGAAAAAAAGAAACTGCAGTTAAGATGAGAAGACTCCACTTTTGATTTATAACAAACATTTTATTGATTACTTTAAGATTGGTATTGATTCAATAAAAGAGTGTCACTATTTTACCCCACTGACAATTAAGATAAAATAAGATTTTAAGAAGTGAATTTTATATTATTTTAACGGGTCATCAGTTAAAAATCAATATTGTTTCCCTTTACGCGTACGCACACACACGGTCATTTGCATTTTTACACACACACAGACTGCCCACTGGCTCTGACACAAGAGGATAATAGTTAGTGTGTGGCTTCCATATCCTGGATGCATGAGGCCGCTGATGGCCTCTATTGATGGACACTGGCGTGAAGCCATCACTCAAGTTATGGAGCTTTAATTGGAGACAGCATAAAACGATAAACCAAGAAACATGCATGGCTGAACAGCCCAATGTAAACCATTAATCATAGCGCAGGCAAAGACAAGTGGCCGCCACATACACACACGCAGACATACTCACGCGCGCAAAAAGGGTGCACACAGCTGCAGAAGCAAAAACAAGCTGCCCTTGCACCACACGCATTGCATTTGTGTGCATAATTGCGCGCACACACACAGAGAGCGTGGCAGAGACAAGTGTCCCAGTCACATATTCTCATGATAGATGACCCATTTAACTTTGATTTCTGAGAGAAATGAGCTCACCAGCGATACAGGGTTACCACACACGCATACTTACTCATTCATAATACACACACACATAGATACTATACATGGGCCGCATACTGTATATGAACTCATAGTGTACATTTAGCTTGTATGTAAATAAGAGCTTGCATCATTTTGTAGACTCATGTATTCTTGCCCTTGCTCCCGTTCTCTCTCACACGCACAGGCACGCACGCACACACACGGTGCCTACTTATTTGCATGAGAAGGGTTATAATATGGGAATGATTTGTGATGCAAGCAATCAGAAGTGAAGTAATTCATCAGTGGCAGTGTCTAACACACATCTCCAGTGGTCATAAATACAAATCTACACACACGCACGCATACACCTGCTTGTAAAATGTGCACATTCCCACAGAGAGCATAAATCAGCTAAAAGTTGGCATGAAGGCAAGACCGTTAATAGCACGAAACCACACAAATGTGCTCTCACACACATCAAACCCGCTGCAAATACTTGGAATAAAATAATCTGACAGACACAAGATATGTAAAGGGCAGTTGTGTTGTCAATAGGAGTTCGTTCTAAAAATGTTTGTTATGCACTTATAATGTGTCTTTTTTTCTAGCATGTCTTATACATGTTTTTATATTAATAAATCTGGCTTGTCCTCTTTGTTACATTAGTTGTCAACTGTATATTATGAATGCTGACTTTCAAATATGAAATTCAACAGAAGTATCTCATCTAGCACTAAAGCAGGGTTGGAAAAAATGTGAAATAAGAGATCAAATAAAAGGCTTCCCATATGGCCTGAAAATGATTAAGAGACAAGACCGTATTACCTGTAAATTATGTCTGTGAAGACATGCAAGTAAAGCGCTACCAAAGCGTTCAATGCAAGCAGGGAAATACAGAACTACAGTAGGTGAGGATAGAGATCTGGGGCCGTTATTCAACAACATCCTGAGAACACTCAGGCCTACTTGCGCAGTAGTCTCTTCACATACTGATATCTATATCTATATCTATATATATATATATATATATATCTTTAGCTGGTAATTTTAGTACTTAATCTATTTGATATTGATAGAGGGAAAATGGCTCAACTTTCTGGATCAGTTTTGGTGATTTTTTTTTCACCTTAGGACTTCTCTCAAGGGCCACGATGCTTTGTGAATAACTTTTATCATTACCAGGATATTTTCTGATCTGTATGGTGAATACTTCTGAGAAATGTCTTAGAATTAGTCACTCGTAGAAAGTCCTTATACTAGGAAGCCTTACGAATATGGCTCCTCTTTATTAGCAATTGGAGTAGATAGAAATCTACTTGATTTAGAGAAGAGAGGCTGACAGGAGGAATTTCTTGAAAAGATGAAATATCACATGAAAAGAAAAGTGACTGCTGCTTTGACTGGAGAAGGTTATTCGTCCATTGGGAAGCAAGAAGATGAGCAGAGAAAACTCAAGGTCTCAGCGTCAAGAGGTTAAACAACTCAGTGGGCTGACACGGAACTAGAGCCAGAGAAAAAAAGAAATTACAAGCAGTTATACGGTGGCCCTGAGAGTCAAAGCACAAGATTTCAGAAAGCACAACGACATTTCAGATGACGATGTCCGACAAACTGGATGCCTTGCAGCACATTGCTGCCTCTCAAAGGTTGGGATGATAAGATACAATAAAAGAGGGAAATTGCTGCGCAGCAGTTACACAACAAAGTGGGCAGAATGCAGAAACAGAGTGCAAATATAAATGTATCATATCGCAGTTCAGAGTGTACAACAGATGTAAGTTCTTGCTTTCGCAGTGTTTTCACTGTTTTATTTTGGTTTTCCCCCACAGGTTTTGAGGCAAGTGTCTTACTGTGCAGTGAGTGTGAGTGTAGATATTGCCAATAGTATAGCATTTTATTTATTTAAAAGCTTATATATGCTACTACTATTTTTTTCTAATTTACACCGAGCAGCCCAGTGTAGGCCGACTGCTCTCCAGTCAACCCCTCATACACGTTGGAAGATGATGAGCTTGAGGTGCTGCCACCAAATATGCAAATAATGTTACCTCCCATTTTTCAACAACCATTTTTGCCGTTATCTACTTTCATTTGTTGTACACTTTGAACTGCAATACAATGCGTCCTGATAAAGATTATCGTATCTTATCGTCCCAACCTGTAAGAGGCAGCAATGTGCCGCAATGCATCCAGTCTGCCGGAAATCGAAAAGAAGTAGAAGTACTTCTGTTTGTTGTAGACTGAAAGACAGTTCACCCAATCAGGGTCAGGGAATAATTGTACAACATATACAGTACACCTACCTTTTCCAATTTGAGTCTCACTTTAATGTTGTGTTGTTTTTTTTTGC